TATGAATCTACAGCAGCGTGATGTGAGACGTGTTATGAGAGAAGCATATTATCCACGTTGAAAGGATTGAAGATGAATTTATATCGCACACCTTGATATCTCCTGGTTGATTTTACTTTTTATGTATCCTGTGCGTAAGCCCACACTTGTGATCAGACGCGGACTCATCAGGGTGGGTGAGATACCCTTCGCTCGCCCATCTATGCTTGCCTCGCTGTTGTCTATTATCCCTCTTTCCGAACAAAACTCCTAGAGATTCCTGCGAGACTTCCTATGATACGCATTTCGCGCTACATTGAGGCGACCAAAAGCATCCCACTAAGAAGAAGTAGACTTCGAAAAGCTGAGGCTTATCCGCTGAGTCTTGCTATCCGGGCGGATAATTACCTATGTTAGGTCTAATAGTTTATTTCATAGCGATTGAGTTTTAATGCTATCGTAGCCATTCATATCCCTTTATTCACTCATATCATAATCGTCGTTGTTGTTGTCGTCGTTATCGTCCTTATCGTCGTTGTCGTCGATCGTTCCTATCGTCGTATATTCAGTACCCGCCCGGATAGCAAAACTCTATCCGCTGGCAAAGACATCTATCTACATGAACAATAGCATGACCTGAATACCGTTTGCAAGCCGCACGAACACGTCGTGGTCAGCCGTTAGCTGTTTCAGCGGCGATATTCCCTCAGAAGTATTTTTGGGGTTAGGAGATTTTCTCCTGGAATTGAGCCTCGCTCTTCCTTGTCTTGGCTAGGTAGCTACTGTACTTATTGGTATCGGACAAGATGATAGCGATCGAGCTGCACTCTGACAATGCTCTTCTGCACCTACTGTGCCTCGTCTAGATGGAACCCGCATAGCTGGCCTTGCCACGGCTTCATCAGTCTGGCCATGCGATAAGAAGGCGAGGAACATGGAATGAACTCCATCCGTATGCACAATCGGGGATCGCCCAGGGGGTCAAGGGAGCTGCGCAGAGTGGAAGGGAAGGATGATCCCAACGCTCCACCGATAACTTTGATTATTGTGTATTGCCTGATGAATTGAGGGTATTAACTACTGGCCTCACTACTGCTCTCCGTATATGGGGTAAGATTCTCAAACTACCTTAATGTGGTAATGAACGCATGCTTCCCCACCTTGGGACATGGTATGCACATCGGACAAGAGCTAAGAACTTCAGGGCCTCCGAAGGGCTGTACTACACTGCTGCCACCACTATTATTCTTACTAACATCACAAACAGCCTAGGCTCCAAACCGAATGTGACATTTAAGCTGCCGCAACCTTAAAGCCACCAGGCATGAGGTCAGTGAAGACCCTACCAGGGTCGTACTTGGCCCTGATCTCCTTCAGACGATCAAGGTTGCCATCTGGGTAGCTTTCAAACACAGGCTGGCCGATGTCTGCTTCGTTCAAGTAGTAAAACGGATACAGCACACCCATTGGCTCCAAGCGCTCCCTGACTTTGGTGTTGAACTCGCTGATGAAGTTGTCGACTACTTCGTCATCAGCTTCGTTTGTCCAGCTATAGGTTTGTTCGATCCAGAATGAGGGCGACTCGTCAATTCCTTGGATTGCACCTGGCCGGGCATTGGTTGCTGCGAGAAGTGCCGAAGTGATGGGGTTGAAAGCAAACCCGATGATTGCTCCTTCGGTGTTGCTGAAAATCGACTTGGCAAGCTCAAAATACATGTCGTGAGCAATCAGCATGGCTTCTTTGTTGGCGTAGATTGGAAGCAAGTGGAATCGCTGTCTCGATCCGTAGGAGCGACCGCCTTTTTGAAAGGCTGGCAACACTGCCTGGTTATACTTCCCCATCGGAAATGACGAGAGCGACATCGAGCTATTGTCTGGAGTCAGGATATTGCCGAGGAAATCTCCCAGAACCGCCGGCGAGGTGGAGTTTCCGTTGTAGAACAATGTCGCCGAATACGTTGGCCCATCAGTGCCGCTGACATAAGTGATGACAGGCAGGACGGCAGCCTTGGGATCCTCGTGCCCATTGACAGCAAAGTTGTAAACGCCCTCGATAAACTGCTGCTTAATTTCCTCACCACCATAAGCTGGTGAAGCGAGCATGACGGATGGAGAATGATGGGTTTGGAGATCGAAGCGAGTGACGAGACAAAATGAGTTACCGCCACCTTGAAGCGCCCAGAACAGATCGGCGTACTCGTTCGTGGGAGTGGCTTCCACAACGGCTCCATCAGCCAAGACGCACTATTTTCATGTGAGTTCCTTGAATCCTATGCGTCTTTCAAGAAGTGACATCGCGTTTGACGTACCTCATACGCTTTGACGTTGCCATTCGTCGATGCGAGTCCGTATTCGTAGCTCAAGAAAGAAACACCTCCACCGAGCAAAAGACCAGAGACACCAATGGGGCTGCCCCGTCCACCGAGAACAGTGATTCCAGTCCCGTCTAGTACGGTGTAGACATCAGTCCACCGCAGGCCTGGGCCGACGGCCACCGTATTCTTGTCCTCGGAAATGGTGAGGGTTTTCATGTTCACGCTCGATATCAGAATACCGTTGGTGTCAATGCTGCTAACATTCGAAATGGGCATGTGGCCGCCTCCGCGCATGGCGAACTGCACTTCCTGTTCAACAATGCATCTCAGGCCAGAAGACAGTTGATTCGCGTCCGTGGGAGCAAAGATACACGCTGGACCAAGCCAAGACCTCGCGGACCATGGCACTACGAGCGACAGCCGTAAGCAGGATGAAGAGATGGTATCTGAGTAGAGCGACTAACCTTGGGTTTCCTCCGTATAACTTTCATCATCCGCGAGAATAGTTGAGTTGGCAAAGGCGCTCTTTAGGTTTTGGCACGCCCTGCCCGCCTTCTCGGTTTGAGGACCTTCTGAGACGGCAGCCGCTATCGCGGCGGTGGCCACCAAGAAGCAAAGAAGCTGCATCGCGTGAGAAAAATGATCAATTATGATGTTTCAGAGAATTTGTTGAAATGTGAGATCTGAACAGGACGATTGACAGTCCAAGAAAAGATGTCTTCAGTTTATTTAATAGTTTAATAGTTTTGTCGGGAGCCCAATTGTCCCGCCGGGACACCATCGTTCCGCCGTGGTAGGATCTTTGCTATCCCAGAAATCGGAATTTCAACTAGCTTACAATACCAAGGAATTCAATTAATTGGACCTCCATCTTTGTGGACCACCTGACGCGGTCAACAGGCGACGACATCAACTGCCGAGGTTTATGTCAGTCCACCAAGGAATCCCCGCAGGCGTCAATGACCGTGTGTGCAAGAGTCTTACTAACCAGGCGAATAACTATTACATTAGGCCCAACAGTTTATTTCATATAATAATGTTGTTATTCGTATCATCACCTACCATCGTCCCTGTCGTCCTTGTCATCCCTGTCGCCCTCATTATCGTCTGTGCCTACTACCCACCCGGATAGCAAAACTCTTCTGAAGACCGTCATTTGATTGCCTTGCAACTGCGCCTGAATTATCCACTGCGTCCTATCGATGCGGGCGTTGTTGGACGTGAAGTGAAGTTGAATGACGAAAGCGAATACGGTGTGATGGATCCAATGGATCAATGCCGAAAAAGCGCTAGTGTACGAGGAACGACAGAACAGTAGCACCCGTGAGAATCCACCGCACATCACGGTGGCATGGATCAGTCTTGGCACGGGGCCGCGCTGTCGTAAACGACAACACGCATTTTCAGTTGGGGGTTGAAAGTTCATCACCGGAACTCCAAATGTACCGAGCCCGACTAGGCATTTTCAATTGCCCTTGTTGATGATGACTCTGAAATCTTGTGCTGCGATTTCTTCTTGTTTCTGTTGGTGTGTAATTTAAACTTGAAGCCTTACAAGCTGTCATGAAAAACAGACGGTCTTGCTCTCGTTTCTCAGATACTCAGGAAATTCAAAGCCGCCCTTTCCATTCTCCTTCGATGAAAGAAGCACAACAAACAGCCGACATACCGAACTGGCTAGTCATGAGACTTGTACTGAAAGGTTTCGTCCTCGTCCTCCTCGTCGTTCTCACCATGACCGTCTCTACTAATAAGATTGTGGCATTGTGCTCAACATTGTGAGCAGATAAATGAGCTGTGTAGACAAATCATATTTAGATGGACTTCTCAAGAGATTGTAGTGTCAGGCGCGCGCTCCTTGTGATAAGTGACTTTGATTGTCTTGGACTCTTTTGCCGCGATGGGCTGAGATACGCTCCTCGGTCCCGAATAACTTCGTTTAACCCGAGACAGAGTGTCAGTGACACTTTTAATCCTTCGGATGGGCATTCTTGGGCGGATGTGTGGTCACCATCTGAATCCTTTGATCTGGCGACCCCTGTGAGTGATGTCGCCGTGACGCTGTGCCACAGTGGCAAGGCATGTTAGCAAGGAAGGATTTCCGGCCCCCCAAGGGCAATATTGGCGGCGTAGATGATGGTGATACATACATGTAAGCAAGGTGGGGGCCGTGAAAGTCCCGTGTTTTCCTGTTGAAAGCAGGTCTTAGAATAGGTTACATCGCACGCAAATGCCCTAGCGCTAGTCGCCCATACCATGCCACCATGCCCGGGACCGAAAATGTAGGATTGATCCATGAGAAGGAATGTTCCATTTGACACCAGCTGTGATGTTGATTGCCAGTAAAAAGTAATGCTCGAGAGGGATGCAGAGACTAGCTACTTGTCCCAGCCACTGTGGATGAGACTGTGCCACTAGGCAGCAGGAGATTGTTACTTGCTCCCACAAATCAGGTCTCAAGCTACCGCAACTACCAGTTGTTGATTCTATCTCAAGTTTGATCGTTCCAAATGAGTTACTGCATGTTGGTATGCATGAGACTCGGGCGATCAAGGGAAACAAGCAGCTGAACTGCCCAGGAAAAAAACTATATAAAGGACTCAATTCGCACGTCTTCAAAACATTTGCCTACACTTCAATCATCAACACAATCACATACCATTTCTGTCAAGAGCCAACGTCTCCTTCAATCTACATACAACCAAAATGCAGTTCAACTCCATCATCGCTACTGTCGCCACTGCCGCAGCCTTCTGGGCTTCCATGGCCGAGACCAAATGCATCCAGGGACCCAAGCGTGCCGGAAATTCCTGCATCCCTGACAACAAAGGCTTGCTTACTTGCGGCCCAGGAAATGATGGCAACGTCGTAAGTCATGCCCCTAACCCGTCCCATCAAAAGTTTCTCACAGAATCATTTCCCGATGAAACGAAGCATTTGCTAATTATGAAATGTGCTAGCTTATTTGCAACGACCAGCTGAAGTGGAAGGTCCACAAGAACTGCCCCTCTGGAGGTTGCTTCGGGTGCGAATGCAGGAACTGAGGGTGATGAGTAGTAGAGTTAACTGCGCGTCCCTATCATCGCTATAACAGGACATGAGACCGAGAAATATACATTTGTTCCCAATTATCTTCTAATTTAGCTTGTCAGGAATCTTCTCTGTCGGTAACATACTATATGTACTGGTGAAGGTGATGACAGGTAACACAATGACTGCACGTTAAGTTGACTGGGACATGTGGAGACTAACCGACAATGACTAGGATGACAGGAATATAGATAGTAAAATACATGGTTTCTCATGACGGGTTATCATGTTTGGTACAGCCTTAGTATGGTTGATCAGCGTAGCCGATACATGTTGATGATGTCTTCGCCTCAGCGGTGAAACAGCAACGTCACTTATTACAAGAGTCGCGTCATGCCCCACTGCCTCCGACTTTTGTGCTCAGATGATCGAAGCCGACTACCAATATAGTATTGAAAGTCGTCTTAATTTCACAAGAGTCTTACTAGCCGGGCAGTGTCGATTGGCTATCTGTGTAGTGTCTACATGCACGCGTGTAATCCGTCTTCTGTGCTAAAGCGACCACGTTTCCTATGTGCTTGCTTTTGCCGTCGCTGTTGTCGTCGCTCTCATCATTGCTATCGCCATTTACTATCGTCTTCAGTAATCGTTATGTATTGTTGTGGTGTATCATTTAACCTTTTCGTCCTTATAGAAATACTAGGTATACTGGGATGGAAGTATGAAGTGTACCGCGATTAAAGTAAAAGCAGGTACTGCCCGGATAGCTAACTACACTACCCGGCTAGCAAAACTCTTCTACAAATCTAATCATATGAAATTTTCTGATCCTATTGATAGGTGATTCAGCCGTTGAGAAAGCAGCAGGCCGAATGCTTCACAGATGGAGGAGTACTGTGTCTTATTCTCCATGATGAAGATTTTGGGGTGCAGAATCAGCTAAGTGAATCATGGTAGTATACTTCCACCAGGTGCGCGTCCAGGCGGCAAACTGCGAAGGAAAAGTTAGAAGGGAAAAAAGATTCAACCTCTGATCATTGATTCATGTATATTGACCCGGTCTTTGCTCTACCGTCCTCCTCATTTCTGATGCATGAGTGCATCTCTGTGAGCTTGGCCAAACCACATTGAATCCCACTGAGTGCGGCTCTTATGCTCCTCTACCACCTTGCCACTCTCATACCTTTTGAACCTCAGAGTGCCAGCAAAGCGCAAATACCACCCATCACCCATCTTCTGTCGCGAGGTAAACTCGTCCTTGACATATTCAAGCGTGTAGACCAGTCCGTTATCACGGTACTCGAAATGCAGCCTACCAGCAACGGAGCGGCCAGTTTGCTCGTCAATTCCGACGTCTGTCGCTGTGAACACCACTTTTCCCGCGTCTTCGGCCACGACAACATCGCCCTTTTGGATCATGAAGAAAATACCCATCGCATACGCAAGTTTGTCTGAACTGATCGTAGCGGAAGAGATGACCGTATACGGTCCCACAGTGCCCCGTCCCCAGTACCAATGGTTAATGACCTTTGCCAGCGACACGTTGCCCCAGTTCCTGTCATGGTACCCGTCGCCCTCCGCCGTCACCGGCTCTTCGCCGCCGATTTTGTATGTTGCGGTGACCTTGCCTTGAGGCACCGCAACTAGCCAGGCAAAGTACTCTTGTTCGTCGTAGTACACGTGCCCGGTCCCGGGCCGCCAGGGTGAAGTCGTGCTGATGAGCTGTACGTCAATGGTCAAGTCATCGACGACGACATGAATTTGAAATGAGTTCAAATCGCTACCGCGAAAGAAGTTGATCTGACCGTCTTTCTCCCCATTGACTGTGACGTTGCATTCTTCCCTGCTCGCGTTGAAGCTACTCGCGGGGTAGGTCTTGGTGATGGCCCACGAGCGTCCGTCGGGTGTGTCGAGCTGCACTTGGATCTTGGGGTCCAAGCTGGTGTTGGGGCTTGCAAAGAGTTTGGTATGGAAGACGACCATCAACTTTGCGCCGTTGGCCAAGTGGGAGTCAAAATACCACCATTCGAACACGCCTGACTTTGACGGGTCAGTTCGAAGACCATCTTCCCACTTTTCTATTTTTGTCGGCGAAAGACGCAGCTTTTGGTACTGCTCTTGGAGGGTGTTCGTGACTTGGGTCATTTCATATGATATTTGCGTTTTCAAAGAACGGCTTTGGTTACTCGTCAATTGACGTCTGGAGGTGAATGGCCATTATCGTTCTGTTCCCAATCAGCATGGGCAACAACGTTATAAACAAAGTCAAGAAAGCGCAGTGCGGGTTTTCGGGAGATAAAGTGTCCGTTTCATCCCGGCTTGTAGTCAAGGAGTTAGGAACGAGTTGAACCTTAATACCGTCGATTGTGCTGTTCAGTCTGCTGGGATATGGACTGGCTACTGCGGGCTGAATAATAATCACAACATTTTCACTGAGTCGGCACGCTGCCGAAACATGAGTATCATTGGCGTCAACACCATCAATTGTTACCGTCGACAGCAGTTCTTCGCGTGTATCCTCGGTCAAGCAGTCGCATACGGTGAGCGCGGCAGCCCACCAGAACCCATCGGAACCCACCGGAACCCACCCGGCCCTCCTCCGTCGGAGTTCGTCCGATCTCCCTTCCATTCTCGCTCCGTTCCAATCAAGGCACGACCAGATCGTACGCCAGAGTTTCCGTGCAAACGGCTTCCCGAATCTTATGGAGCCTAAATTATCCCATCAGACCAGGCACGCCATCGACCTCGTCGGGGGTATTCCTTACTTGAGGTGCGCGGGATGGCCCGCGTAAGCCAGTACCTGTTCCTCGGTGTCCATCACCGTCATCAGCGCCATATCGAAGCCCTGCGCACGGTGCGCCGTGCTTGCAAGCGGCGGGCCAAGGGTAAAGGACCTGAGGCCCGGGACGACACGGACCATTGCGTCGCCTGCGGCTCGCATCTCCGAGGTTCGGGATGAGTCGGTGTTGGGTTTGAGCTTGAACAGGACTGTGACAAGGTAAGTCAGCAGCATTCAGGGGCAAGTGGCGTGCGGTAGTTACCAATGTGATAGCGGCGCACCGGGTGGTGCATTACCGGTGTAAGTAAGGCCGGGGCCGGCCCCGCTCCGAGGCGTCGGACATTTCTTTGCCCGCCGGCACTTCACTGGGAGCCAAGCTCAACTCAATTTTGATGTTTTTGTTGATTGATATTACTCAAATGGGTGTTTTGGTTAAAAGTGCCATCAAAGGGCTCACTTATGTAAACATGTTCGTGCTAATTTTCCATCTTTTAGAAACGTCCAAGTGACTGACGCAACACGCCACCCGATCTCCCGCCCCATCCGACGACGTGAGTGAGTTGAACTTTGGCCAATGGCTCTTTATAGAACGGACACTAACAGACACCTCAGGTACCTGATTGTCTCAAAAACCTTCCAAAAGCCGAAATACCAAAATGAGTCCCGCAAGTTTCTTTTTCTACGCATCATAATGCTCTCATACCAGCCATCGTCGAAACAATATGGTACAAGATGAGATTTACTGTGACGTCATGTTAGCCTCCCACTATCAGAATACAGGACTGTGAACTACACACAATGCATTGTTTCCGGTCTTGGCAAGAAGACCATGAGATGCAGTTGGAGGCGCCCGCAGCATTGCAGTACAACTTTGCCCCCCCGAGAGTGACGCCGTAGGCGGCACCGTTACAGACCTCGTCGCATGTCTTGCCGTTGCCATGCGCTGCACAGCAGTGGCTGCCATCGGAGTACTGGCACTGGCAGTAGCCGCATGCCTGCGCCGTGGCGACGGCGACGGCGAGGAAAGGAATGACAGAGTAATCTTCTATTCGAATGAACCAAAAGTGTCGTTATTGAGTTGCGAAGTTAGAAAGTGCGTTGTAGTCATTCAAGCTCAACTTCTAAAAGGTGATACGATCGTTTATAACAACCAGCATGATGCGGAGCGTGAAGGCATTTGATTCTGGGAACGAGCTGCTCGGGTTGGTCATGAGTAAATGACTCAACACCACACGAGAAGATGACAGGACCGCTCCCCATTCTCTTTCCTCGAACTGCGAAAAAATCAAAATACTGCCGATTATGGATAAGCTGTGGCGTGCAGCGACAAGCGTCGCTATTTTTCGGTGGCGACTGTGATCTAAAGAGACTTCAGCTAATCCAGAGAAAACTTGCATGTGTGCTTTTTCATTCGCCATTCATTCCATGACTGCCAGTGGCATAAACCGACGCACCCTGAGTGCTCTTTTTGTCAAACCAATTGAACAGCTTGTTGAGTAGGGGCCGATTTTCATTGGTCAGGCAGGTCCTTTTCGGCGATATAGAGAGCTGACGGGATAATTGGCAATGCCGACGAGTCAATCAATGTCGTCTTCCCTGCGACAACATCGCATTCGGGTCGATGCGCACGATAGCCGGGTGATACCATCAGTGACAGGTATGCCGCCCACACCCCAAAGGCCCACAGATTCAGCAACTGTCAATTGAAATCCTGGGGGTTCCATAAGACAAGCTTTGCGCTTACGGTGGCTGCGATGAACTTGCGGGGTTTGGCTTGGATGCTTCATCAAACTAGAACCGAACCCTTGGTGCTTGCTGTTCCTCACAAGGCTTGCACGGGCTCAAATGCCCTGCAAGTCCAAATACACACAGTGTGTTGGAAAATTCTGCAGGATCCTCTCTGGCCGTCTTGCTGCGGTTGTCGGTAACTTGATCGTTCAATTGCCGGGGCCTAGAACAAGTCCATCACCATCTCATCATCGAGGCAATTGACGCACAACGACTCAGGTGTACCAACCGACGACGCGAGGGGTTCGGGAGCACGGGCTGGCCGATAGAAAGGGGACATGGGGACTTTGATATCCCACCGGGACTTAATCTACTGGTTGTGGTGAAACGACCAGTGCCTGAATCAGTCGTCGTCCATCGTTATTCATGGCCCAATGAGCACTCACCAGACGATTTAAAACTTCAAGTGTCATTGACACCAGTAAGGCAGACTGATTCTAGGTCCACGCATCATATCGCACATGAAGCTCTGTAAATTGCGAGCAAATTGAACCCCAAGAACACCCGCATGCTCAAAGTGGTATTTATACCTGGACCAGCGGTCTTGCCTGACCATCGTCCCATCGTTAATCTGCACCTTTAACCCCAGATCCCCTTTCTCGTCCCAGACAAGCCACAAAATCACACCTTCAATCACAGTACCCACCCCCACCACACCCAGTCACAATGAAGTTCCAGTCCCTCCTATGGCTCGCCCTCGGCGCAACCGCCGCCCCAGCCCCATCCGACGCCGGCCCCACAGTCCCGGCCCGACGCCTCCTCTGCTCCGGCCTCTGGACCGGCAACGACCTCGGCTGGGGCGACATCAAGTGGGCGATGCAGAACCGCCGCGACGAGCTGCAGCTCAAAGCGGGCTGGTGGAACGAGGCGAACGCCGACTGCCGCAGCACCGACGGCAGGGACATCGCGCAGGAGGGCATCTGGATCACGTACAACCACCAGCGCGACGACAAGGCCGAGACGGCGCTCAAGTACAACGAAAAGATTGTCTGCACGCCGCAAAGCTCGTGGCACCTCAAGTGCAACCCTTCCGGTTGAGACTGTGAGTCTTGCTCCTTGGTTGCGGTCAGCACGGGGTTCGGAGAGACGGGGATGCGGCCGGAAATCCAGCAGCGGTGTCTAATGTTGACATAATTGTTTTCTCAACTGTTAGAACGGTTCTACAGCCCCTTTATACCCAGAAATTTCCAAACATATTCATGATCATGCTATCCGACTTGCCTCTGTCCTCCATCACAAGTTCCAAAAAAGCAGTGCCCATCATAACCCCTCCCCAGTCGGCGCACCTCCCTTCCCCCACTCCAACCTGAACTCGCCTTTCACCGAACAGCCGCATGGTGAACCAATACCGTAAGACACAAAGATCCCCCTCGGCTCCGCGCGTTCCTCCGGCTCGTCTTCCGGATTACTAGGCACAATCACCCACTCCCGCTCGTCATCCTCCACCTTCTTAGCACTCTTTCCTGTTGTAATCGCAGTGGCAGGCTTCTCATCGACGATGTCGGTCTCTGCTGGCTTCTCGTCGACACAGCCATCATCTTCGGTGATAGGCTCGGTGGAAGACTGGGTCCGGCCGAAGGATAAGGTAAACCCTGTTGACGACCGTCAGCAATCCCGTTACAATAGTTTTGAGTCGGCAGGTCGGACTTACTCGGTGGGGCTTTATACGTGCCGCCCTGCTGTGCCATCTCCGTTCGGCAAAGGCAATTCGATGCAAGATTGTCATGTGGGATGAAAAATCTCCGAGCTATCGGGCGGATGCTCGGGGGGCCTGGCACTTCTTCAATACTCTGGATGCAGCGGGCGTCGGAGGCAGGCGTGCGGCACGGAGTGGCGAATGCTGGTTGGCAAGCAGTGGCAGCCAATCACGGGGATAAACATGTCAACAGCTTGCGTGCGAAGCCCGTCAGATCGTCTACGGGAGGCTTCTGGATCTTTTGTCCGCGTTCACATGACTAGCGCGTGGCGCAGGCTTTATGATTACGCACTGCATCTGAGGTAATCAGTGCCGTGTCTGGATATCTTCCAAAGTAGCAGCGCATGAGGCAGTACTGTATTTTAATTTCTCCCAATTCAAAGGAGTTTGCCTGAAGACTTGGTAGGCAAGGGTGTTTGATAATGTGTGCTGTGCAAGAGAACGTCATTATAAGACATGGTCGTCGACTTTCGTTCCATTACTGTAGCAAAAGATAAACTCCAACACGCCATTTGACTATTACAGAGAAGATCAGGGTGTGGGCATATGTCCTATCCATCCAGTGAGAAAAGAAAAATGAAAAGTGGTTCTCCCATGTCCAAAGCTAACCGCCCCTCAAACAAACTAGGAAAAGATTTAGGATCGCAAAATCAATGTTTCACAGCACATCCCAGGTTTCGTGAGTCACATCTGCCTCACTCTACTTCGCTCTCGATCGCGATCGGTCGAAATGCCGCTTCCACCGCAGCCACCACCCACCAGGCTGGCGGACTGGCATCTCCTCACTGTCGGAGGCGGTGGTGTTAGGACGCCGGAATAGGGGCCCGTTGCCGCCCCACGGGTAGGCCTTGTTAGATGGCAGAGTGAAGTCGCTGACTGTGGTAGTCGGCACCACCGGGCCATCGGGCTCGAACATGGTGGTACTGTCTCCCTCGACCGAGACCGAAGCCTTGGTTGTTGCTGTTAGGAGAGTCGTGGCGGTGTTGCTGGAAGTTCCTGGAACATTTGTTAGTTTCCTGGCCTTTGTGGAGAAACAGGCTAAGACTTACTGTTTGTAGCTCCGGTTGAGGGCTTTGTAGAGGTCGTGTTCTGCCACTTGGACGTGCAGGTTGGCATGGATGAGACTAGAACACTTCTGGTAATAACTTGAGTCACTGTGCCACTAGTTACGGTGACCGTATGGCATGGTGTTGAAGACCCCGTCGGCCCTGTGGAGTTGGTGACAGTGGCAGGAGTAGTTGAAGGCCCAGTAGGAGGGTACACTGGCGAAGACGACGACGATGAAGATGGCAGCGACGAGAATGTTGAGTTCGGCAACTGGCTGAAGGGCACGCTCGGAATCACAGTTCCAGGTGGAGGACCAGCCCCTGTGGCAGTAGGCACGATGGTTCCGTTTGAAGTTGGGAACGGCGGCGTCAATGTTGCAGACCGCAAGACTGTAAGGGTTTGCGTGGTGCGGCGGTCGGCTCTTGTGATTGTCAATGTCGAAGCTACCGCGCCTGATGGTGCACTGGAGATCAACGTGACGGTGACGTTGCCAGTCGATAACGGGATCACGGTGACATTGCCAGCAGGGAATGGAGGCGTCGTTGCCGTGGCGTTGAGACCGCTCGATGTCTCTGGGGGCTCAGTTGTGAAGAAGACAGTTCCAGATCCTTCCGGAGGTGCGGTTCCTGTAGGTCCTGCCGCCGACGTTCCATTCCGAGTTGGGAACGGTGGCTCTATGGTTGAGTTTGGGAGACCTGTGATGGTACCACTGCCAACTGAAGTCCCGCCAGTCAACGTGGGTATCGGTGTGACACCTGTGCCTGAGATCGTACCCGTTAGGCTGCCCAAGGTAGACGGAGGGGAAGTAGAGTTCGTGACCGGGAATGGAGGCGACGGGAAAACGGTAGAGTTGGTGCTGGAAGTCAATGTCGATATCACCGTAGTGCCTGTCCCGGAGATAGTAATGGTTGTGTTCGCTGGGCGAGAGGAGTTCACTGACGGGAAGGGTGGTAAGGAAGGTAATGGTCTCGTAGAATTGGCAGTAGAGGAGATTCCGGTCAGAGTGGGATCGGCGGTGACCCCGGTTCCTGAAATTGTTGCAGTCGCATTGCCCGAACTAACAGCAGATGTTGCGTTCACACTTGGGAAGGGTGGCCTAGGCACCGTTGAAACTGCGATCGTAGCGATAGGTGAAGAACCTGTTCCTACGGGTATAACAAGGGTCGACATGACTGTGGAGAGCCAGATGCTCGATGTATTGAACCCAGTCGGGAAGGGAACGACAGAGGAGTTGCCGGTTGGAAACGGAGGAGCGTCGGTTGTAGAAAACCCTCCCGATGTGATGCTGGGAGTCGCATTCGACGTTGAGGTATTCAAAATTGTCCCATTACTTGGAGAGAGAATCGCGCTCTGTTGAGAGCTCAACGTAGTGTTCACACTTGGCCAATGAGTGGTGGCGGTTACTGAGCCCGTCGCGGTGATAGCACCAGTGCCTGTACTGTTGCTAGTTGGAATACCCGAGGTGTGATTTGTCCAAGTGAAGACCCTGGAGGGACTTGAGAACCCCGTACCGACAATTATGGACGATGTAATTACCGGGATGGAAACGGTTCCTGTGAGGGATACCGTGGTTGAGTTGAACGTAGGCCATGGTACTGTGGGAGTTGAGCCTGAAGGCACTGCAGTCCCAGTTGTCATGGGGATCGTTCCCGTTCCCGTTCCTGTTCCTCTAGGTAGGGTCGTAGAATTGGACACAGGCCACGGCGGCACGAAAACACCAGACGTAGACGTCGCTGGATCCGCAGGTTGACTGGTCCCCGTCCAGGTAGCATTAGCGCTGGCCGAGAGTGTTGAGTTGGGGGACAGCGAAAGAGTTGGATTGGTTCCTGATATGACTGGCGAGGAGGTCAAAGTACTGTTCCAAGGTGAAGTTGACGAGGGCTCAGGCTCTTCAGTGATGGAGGCAATGGTGCCACTCGGCCAGATGATGGAGCTGGAATTTGCGGGGAAAGGAGGCACGGCAGTAAGGCTTGTTGGAAAGACCGACGCCGTGTTAGGCACTGTAGAAATGAGTATTGTGCCTTTAGTAGAGATGGTGATCGTCGAATTGGGAAATGGGAAGGGAACGTTTGTTTCTGTGGGAGATGCAGAACTTGACGGTAAACCAGAGACTCCAGACGGCACTACCGTGACTGGTCCTGTGGTTGAGCCCTGAATGGTTGATGTAGCAGAAAGGCTCGTCAAGTTTGAAGCCCGGGTCGTGGTACCAGACGTCCATGCTGGAGGGATCGGGATGTCAGATATGGACGTGAAGTTTCCTGAGGTGGTAGATTGTGACACTCCGGAAGACGTTGGCGAGGCAATGGCAGACGAGTTCCAAGTCGACCATGGGGGCTCAACAGGCTGCGTCAAAGTCGGGCCAGTTGGGAACGATGTTCTGAAGAGCGAACTTGGCAAGATTGATGTCCCTGGCGCGGTACCAGTTGCAGTTGCTGACGAGTTGGACGCAGTGAACGGCGGTACCAGAGTGGCAGACTTTGAACCGGATAGTGTTGAGGAAGTAGTTGCAGTGCTATTACTGTTGGCAGAGGAACCCACTGATGTTGCAGACGAGATTGAAGAGCTCACGGCCGGAGACGGCGCAAGAGTGGTGGTGTTCCACGTTCCCCTTGAGCTTGAGCTTGAGCTCGTGGATGTCTCTGAGACTGTTGCGAGGGTACCCGAATCAGTATCTGTCGTGATTGGTGATGAGACAGCGCCGGTTGACCTAGTTGACGACGAAGAGTCGCCTGAGGAGACGGGCGTAGGTGGGTACGTAGTGGCGGCATCCGAAGAGGCGGAAGATGATCCAGAGGTAGCAGTGACACTGGCAGAAGCAGGGTAAGAGTCACTAGATTTTCCGCTCGGACTTGTCGCCGTGCTTGCACTTGTTGAGTATTCTTCTAGGTGGGAGTTAGTCAACCGCGCACATGTTCCTGAACGGAGGAACAAACCATCGGTGGTACTGGCACCATATTGTTCCGTCGACGACTCCTCGCCATAGGTGGTTGGAGCAGGCGGAGGAGGGCCGGAGTATCCATAGTCGTAGCTGAGAAAATCATCAGAGTCCTGAGCGTCTCGAGCATGGTGTTCCAGGTTGTGGAGAGCCGCGGACTGGACTTCGTCCTGCTGGCGATAGACCTCAAAAGGGGAAGCTGCGGTGCCGCCCACCAAAGACGGGAGCAGCGCAGCAACCGAAGCGATGCCGGCGTTGAGATTCGAGAATCTCATGTCGATGAGCTGAACGAAGGTCAAATCCTTCCGCTTTTGGTCGGACAGGGAGGAGGGCTATCCTGGCAGTCGCGTTCGAGGGCTCGCCGGCTGCTCTTGCTCGTAGATGCGGATAGAATGAGTGAAAGCCTCAAGTAGGAGAAACGAACGTTGACAACCTTAGCACTCGGGTTCGAGTGGGAGCAAGGAAGTTGTGAAGGGGGAGAAGGAAGAGAGGCGGACCCGAGGGGGAATTGGAAGTAAGGTAGATGGGTACCAACCACGGGGGCAGAGCACATATAGGCGGAGGTCGCGACATCTTCGATGGAGGGACGCCCTCGTGCGAAGAAGACACTGCTTTTTCCGCACATTCTCTAACGAAAGTCACTCTTTGGTCTTCTCAAGAAAGTCATCGGTCACACATTGCGTCCCCGGAGGGCACGTCTTCCGCACTTGATCGTGCCCGCCGTGGCCTTACATCATGCTCCTGCTTCCGACTCGTCCCATAAACAGTCAAGTCGGTTTATACAAGTCCCACTCTGAAAGATACACTGTGGCCGTGTACTAGCGATCCGGGGAAGCTTACATGGTTGGATCGGATGGATCAGGGTGGATTCCGACTTGCTCGGTCACGATAGCACAACGTTCCTTTCAACTGGGCTGCTGCCATAGGTGAGCTTGCCGGTAACAGCGCTAGCCATAGCGGGCAACGGCCTCGGTCGATCACCATCGCCACCCGTCCCAGCAAGCAAAGATCCGACGAGGAAGCTCGAGGCGCTTGACGATGAGGCCTCACTTGCGATCTTCCACCGCTATGGATGCACCTCCTGATTCGTCTTCGCCAGAGCGCACAATCGAATCTCCGATGCGAGACACTCTACTCCAAGAAGCCCATCTGGTCGCCGTCTGTTGAGCTTGCCGTGATGAAAGAAGCGACCATGATCCGAGTCTCGTTTTCTTCTCATGTTCAACGCATCGTCACATCCACTATCAGTCACCAAGCACAGCGTGACATGACGCTCAACACCAAAGGGTGTCGTATCTCCCATAGTCGCACCTGCGGTAACATGTTGATGACATGCACGTCCGACGGAGCTGAGGCATGGCCCCAACGGGCTCTCCGGACTTGGATTCAGGGGCCTTCCTCTTCCGGTCTTCTTGGGGGACAGACGGAACGGTATGTGGACGGTGTTCAGTTGAAGATCGCGCAGCCTGTGGGTAGCCGTGTACTGCCAAACGAGATTGCTTGTGCCTGAGCAGTGTGTGACGAGACCGATGTCCTCAGTGCGGGGGCTCGCGGTGTCTCGTCTCAGGATCGATTAGTGTCCGCCCCAGCAATTGGAGTCATTTCTCTTTTTGTATCGCTCCATCTTGCTTCTTCAAGACAGCTGCTTGTGTAAGAATCGTTACTGAGTGTCAGCCACGCAGGTGAAGCCTCTGGGACATGTGAAGGGACCCTCTAAGATTGCGAGACAAGACGGGGCAGTCCATATTGGTGCGCGGAAGTCATCTATCAATCTTTTTGCTGTCATTCGTAAAGTTCCAAATCGTCATTAACAATTATTTCATGCGTTGCCCTCAAAGTTTTCATGTACCTTGCCCAAGGACCTACCCTAAGGACGCCAAATCAAATTCAATCATGCTAATGCACGCAAAGGCTGTCTCTCTCATTGCCCCCCACCTGTCCGTGAGATCTCGCTGCGAAAGACCCGCGAGCCGAGTTCGATAAAGGAACACAAGATTCAAGACTGCTGTCAAGATGCCGTGGTACCATTACCCGAAGAAACGAGGTGGGCCCGCATCGTTTAGGTGCCAAGTTGAAGCACTACCTCGGCCGGTGCAGTTGAGATCGGCTCCACAATGCTGTGCGTCGTCGCCTACTCGGCATTCTTAGCCGTCTCGCGAAGAGTTGGAGCCGTGCTGTCGGTCATGGACGTGTTCTTGGCCTCGATATCGGCAGCCCACAGAGCAGCACCAACTAGTGACAGTTGTCAGTGATGTTCGCCAGGAGCTTCGAGCACACCTACCCGTGTTTGTGAATGTAAAGAAGATGCTGACGAAGGGGATCATCTCAAGCGCAGTTGCCACGAGGCCGAAACTGTACCATGCTAGTCAGTACCCCGTGTAGCGGACGCGCAAATAGACCAACTCACGCCGTGTAAGGTCCAGTGTGCATCTTGAGCCAGTCGGCCCTCCGGGAAGCGGACCAGTTCTTCAGTTGGAAGTACTAGACAAGAGAAGTCAGACAGGAGCGTGCGGATGGAGTCGATCAGGAGATACGTACGCGTCCATGGACACTGTGACCTCGGCTGCGGGCTGTGACGCGTTAGCTTAGCTATGCCACGAGTGGTTCTGTCAACATACCCTGGAGGAGAATAAAGATACCCGTTCCCACGATGGGAATGAAGTTCAAGGGCAGGTAGACCAGGTAGCGGATGAGAGCCTTGGGGCTGAACCTCTCGAACGGGTTCTTGAGGATCTTGCCCAGCTTCTGCATTGGGTCAGAGCCAGGGCGGACCTGTCTTCCCTCCTTTACGATGCCATCCTCGTCCCTCGATAGCAAGGTGCCGTCAAAGGTATCCAAAAGCGCCTCTTGCAGAAGGTATGATCGTGAGACGAAGTTGATGATTGTCGAGCTCTCATTCAGGATCAACAGCACGGTGGTGAAAACCGCCAGTGGGCCGTTGACGAAGACGAGGATAGCAAGCTGGGGCACGTAGGTGAAGACGAACATGCCTGTCACAACACCAGCGGACAGGAGGATGTAGGCCCCGATGCGCGACATCAGAGGCTTCCATAGCGCTCGGTGCGTGGCGAAGTAGACGATGCCTTTGATGGGATACAGGTACGACTTGCTCTTGGCAGCGTCGGCGACGAGACCTCTCGCCTTGTCGTAGTCCTCCTGCCTGTTACACGTTGGTCAGCGTTCGCCGGATGCTCATGGAAGTTCAGGGGTGTCACATACAGGACCTCCTGGGCTTTGGCCTGCACCGAGTTGGCCACTCGTCGGTTGCGGCTGTTGGAACCGGAAGCTTGCCCTTCGGCGACAGTCTGTTGGTCAGCCATGGTGATGAGCGATGTGCGGGGTCGATGTCAAGTTGCGGTTCTTGAGATGGCGTTGGTGTCGTAAACGAAGATCGCGAGAGCAGCTGGGGGAAGTGGCTGCTAAACAAAAGTGACATAGGCCTGTAGCCAGCTTTTATTTGGTCGTGGCAATCGCGATCTGGCTGTCGCGCAGCTACCTGAGCTGAGCTACCGGAGCTAGAGCTCCCTGGCGTGCCAGCCAGTGATGGCTCTATGACGTCGTAGTGTGGCTCAAGCCAGGCCTAGAACCTGCTGCGTGCGAGGTGTGGCGTCCAGGGCTTGGCATGCGCCATACCAGAATATGCAGCTTCCAGGCGTGAAGGAGGAGTCAATTGCAATAGACTCTTCATGCATCCAAAGACGAAGGAAATCATTTTCCCTCGGTAATGTTCTTGTTTGAAGATCTCGGCAGCGAATTGGCACCCAGCATCGCCTGCTTGTTGGGATGCTGCGCCACCACAGCCACATATCAAATTACGCCACATGGGTGGTGAAACGACGATGGCATAGGAGTTTAAGGGGTTTGATTCATTTAGTCAAAGCCATCGTGAGTTTGTGACGCGCCTCCAAACAGCCCCACGATATATAGCCAACTCTCTGCCCTCCATCACTACTATTCTTTCTGACCACTAATCGTGGTCTCTGCTGTCGTCGCCGTCGTCGTCCGCCCCTGCCGTCGTCATTCCTCTGCTTCTGTTCTCCGTGAGAGGGGTCTTGCCTCCTCTGCGAAGTCCATTCGTGGAGTTCACTCATTTCCAAAGTTCCCACCGGCCTGACCCAGCATTGTCAGCACATTTTGCACCTGATCCTCCGACAGATGTGTGACAGGTGCGGGCTCTCCTGGCACAACCGCGTCAAAGAATGCCTCGCCCAAGCGGTTGATAGCCTCATTCCGAGCGGCCGTTAGACGGGACACCTCGCCTATGGCCTCTCTGACTCTCGCGAATCGGTCCGGGGCAGCCATGGCAGCAGCTGGTGCCGGTGTTGCATGCCGAGAGACGGCGAGGGCGCCGGCAATACCGCCGGGGTCCAGGACGGCTGAGCCAGCCGGGACGGGCTCAGCCGGACCTGCGCTAGGTAGAAAGGGATCCTGGCGACTGACGGGGCGAGGGATTGGGGCGGCTGCGGGGTTAGATGTGGAGGTCTTCGAAGAGATCCTGTCTTTGCCTGCCGAGCGAAAGGCCTTGAGTGTCTCAGCGGGGTACAAGGCGGACCGAGAGTAGTTCACGGTAGGCACGGAGCGTCGAGGACGAGTATCAGCATCGACAGGGAAGGAAGCGGTCTGGACGTCGTCTTCGCGGGCATCATCGCTGTCGCTATCGTCGTCCTTATCATCGTTGTTCTCGAGACGGCTGTAGTAATTCTCGGTGCCAGACTGGACAGCTGCGAGGGCGCGCACTACAGCGCTGGTGTCCTTCTCAAAGGTCAGTAGACGCGTTCACTTGGGTTGAGAAGAGACTTACGTCGGAGCTAATCTCCGCGCCGGGATGAAGCTGGCGCAGTTCCAAGATTGCGCGACGACGAGCGATAACATTTTGGGCGCGAAGCCACTGCGACGGAGGAATCTAGCACTTGATCAGTACGTGGGCTGGATGGCGACGTTGAAGGTGCTACTGACGATAAAGCACTTGCCCAACTTCACGCACCGCTCGCATCTGTCTGGGCAGGGAGTCAGCAATACGTGGCAAGAGCGGAAAGAGGTACCTACCTTCCCCAGAAGCTCCGCTGCATGTGAAATCAAGCTCCTGGCACTCTTGCCCGCGTTTGTTCTTGGATTTGCCGGCGTACCACTTCAAGCACCGGAGACACCATCGAGTCTCGATGCCGGTAGCAAATGCAGGGCCAAAGTTTGATGAGACCATGACGGCGGGATGCACAGGGTGTCTGGAAAGATGCTGCTAATCTGGAAGGTATTGTGGTGAACTGAAGCGGAACGGCAAAAGAGGAGGGCAAGGAGGGAGAAGAGGATGGACGAAGCAGAAGAGGAGGGCAAGGGGAGAGAGAGGATGGATGAAGGAGAAGAAGATAGACGAGGACACTGGAGAGACCAAGCGAAAGTGGCTGCCTCGAGGCCGCAGGGTCGACTTGTTTGTGTTTTTCTTTCGGTATGATGCCTTGAAGGTGGGTCAAAGGAGGAAAACACACGTTCGGAACAAGCTGAGACCGGCAGCGTCGAAAGACTCCTGAGAATACATACACTCTATTCGCGATTGGTCTCTCGGCGAGTACAACCAATTCATATAGCCCATATGCCTAGGTAGGTACCGATCCTGACATTGGCGACAAGGAGCCAACGACGAAGTTGTTCCTCTGCTAGGTCCACGGCTCGACACCATGCTGCCCGGTTCACCTTTAGTTTTTCTCCTACAGCTCCGCTCCACTACCCGATCCGCCAGCCAGCAATTGTTGCCCATCTCTCTGTCCCAGCATCCGAAGCACCCCCAAAATCGCTTCGTCCCCTGATATCTCAGGCGGGACACCTCCAGATGCCACGATGGCGAACACGGCCTCGCCTAGGCGAGTGTGCGCATCCTTGAGCTCCCCTGAAATCCTCGAAACCTCCCCGGCAGCCTCCCGAGCGGCGCCATCTGCGTGATGACCAGTCTGTCTCAGCAGTTGGGAAACGCCCGGCGCCTGGTTGTTCGGCACGTTGGGGCCTAGTCCGAAGTACTGCAGAGCCGCGGTTGCAAAGCGCTTGTCGGCTTCGGGCTTGATGGCATTGAGCCTGGCCACCTTCTTGACAGCATTGCTAGCGGCCTGGAGAAGATGCTCGGTACCGTCAGGTACCGCAGGCGACCTCTCTTGAACTCGAGAGCCGACGCTGGCTCGGGGAAGATTCTGCAGGTCATCGTCAGCGTGCGTGTTCGCGCTGGCTCGCTCTTGCTGGCTGTGTTCGTCGCGTACCGTCTCAGGCTCGGAATCGTGGAACTCGTCGTACAGAATGCTGGAGACGTAACGGCGAGGGCGCTTTCTGCGTGGGGGTGTATCGTCTTCGTCTTCGGAGTCTTCAACATGTTCCGCATCGCGCTTCTCGCTGTCTCTATAGTATTCCCTGGTACAGTCTCTGACGATCTTGAAGTCGGCCTTCAGAGCCTGACGGTCCTGCGAGGCAATCGTTAGTTATGGCGACGTGTCAAGCAGCTCATCTCAAGGGTAATTACTGCAGCACTAATGTCTCTCATCGGGTTCTTCTTTTCAAAATCTATCATGGCTCGACGGCGAGCAATGATTTCGCGGGCGAGCTTCCACACAGAATCCGGAATCTGGGAATGCTATCAGCAATTGTATCGGCAATGAGTCCGAGGTTCCTCACTGTCAGACACTTGTGCTTTTCTGTTGTGGGACACCGTGCACACTTTTCGTCGGGGCCTGCGAAGATGTGAGCCTGTGGTGCTTCACGGAAACACAGCGAGATCAGCGGCGCGCCTACCTCCGACTGCTCCTGAGCATGCGAAGTCGACGTCCTGACAGAACTGTCCACGGTTGCCCTTGAACTCGCCTGCATACCATCCCAAGCACCGGAGACACCAGCGAACTTCATCAGGCACGGCAGCAAGGGCCGCTTCGAAGACGGAAGTTTCGGGCATCGTGGACGTTGTGTGGTTGTCGGTGGAAATGGGTTTGCGAGACCTTCGGTGGCAGCCCAAGGAGCATGGGATCGCGGATAGGTAGCCGGCAAGCACTCGTTATGTGGGGCTCTCTGTGAAGTCCCAATGAGAAAGAACGGAAAAGAACGAACTCCCAATTGGGAGGAACGATTGTTGATGGCAGCCTCCAGTCGACGAAGCTTCGAGAAGTCGGGTGCAGCAAGAGACTGGTAACATCTCTCGTACCAGCGACCAGAAATTTTAGATAGAAAGCAAGACATAAGCCTCAACGCGTTTTCTGAACCTTGGACGTGCCTTTCTTGTTTGCTCATTCAGCACAGGCCAAACATGCGTGTGCAGCAGCTACCCGACCAACAAACAACCCCAGCACAAAGCTGTTGTCTTGCTGCTCTCCCTCGGACCTCTGGCCTGCTTTAGGACAGGTAAATAGATTGAGAATACAAGGATATCGGGAAATTTGACCTGGTCTGTGGACCTTCTTCATTGAAATGATAAGGTATTCACATCCAACGAGGCCCTGTCACATCTACGACAAACGACATATGCGCCTGCCTCGACACCACCATACGCATTCTCATTGACAATTGGGCTCGTCCTGTCTCGTGCAGAGCATCATGATATATCAATTAATCATAGCCAATCAGATTGACTCCAAAAGATCGCCGTAGCTGCTCGACAGAGGCAGCCCGGTGATGCGTCGGCGATAAGTGGGCCCATCGGATCGGAGCCGGCGCCGACACGGAGAATTGGCCGGAAGGACTCAAATGCGCATGGTATGTGCTTTGCGGTCTGAAAGTGCATCTTTAAAGACCAGGTCGTACCCTATAACTAGCTAATTCTGGTTTTGACAGTGGTTCAACAGGCTGAATACATCACAGGGAGGGGCACTGGATTATGCGGATGGTCAGCATAAAAGGGGACAACAGAGATGACAGCCATGCTAGTTATATTCTATTCCTCTCGTCAGCCAGAGGTGCTTGCCTGCACGGTATGAATGTTGCTATCACTTTGTACCCAGTCTCCTAACCTACCCAGCCCGCTGTCTTGAAGAGTCCGTCTACTGCGACAGGCGAGTATCGACACGTACCGCCCCGTAATGCTTCAAGAACCGGCCCCATATCGGCGCATAATCCTTTCTCACATGCATCGTCTCCGGGTCCTTCTGCTCTCTGACGCTCCTCGCAATGGGCCACAGTACTCGACTTGCGCCGTCCTCCCATCCAATCGGTCTCTCGCCACCGCGCGCGTCCTCGTACTCGGGCGCAGCGCTCATGTATCCGGGGTCCACGGTGTTCATGGCTACCTTGTGCTTCTTCCAGGCCGTGGCTGCCTCGGTCTCAGTGATCATGTTGAGCCCGGCTTTGGACATGTTGGTGTGCACGTGGTGGCCCCTCTTGGCTGAACTGTTGCGGTCCGTCTCGAAGATGCCCTCTCTCGATGACACGTTGACGATGTGCCCGTCTTGCATGCCGGGCAGCAGCTCGCGGATCAGGATGAGGGGCACGAAGGTGTTGACGCTGTGCGCTGTGATGACGTCCTCGTATGGGATGTCGGAGAGAGACTGGACCCAAGAAGATGGCCCTGGAGGTGAAGAGATTTGCATGTTCGACATTGGCGTCTCTATGACAGCGGAGTCCGTTTGCGACGCTGCCTCAAGAAGGCTCGTATCCTGGCCAGAGATCCCCGGCAGAGTCGCGCCACCACGAACCCGCGCAGTATATCCCTTGCGCACGACAACGTGGTTGTCAGCATCCGAAGCCGCCGATTGCTCGAGCAGCTCCTGCTCTCGGGCAGTAGCGATTTGCTCCTTGTTGATAGGATCAGTGAGAGTCTGCGCGGCGTTGTTGATCAAGATGTCTAGCCTCCGGTCTTCCGCTCGCAGTATCGCCTTCGTGGCCTCGACCAGTGCGAAGGCGTCTTTTGCCGCTCTGAAGTCTGCCCCGACGATCCTGAGGCGGTCTTTCCACTTCTCAAAGTCGAGCTCCTTTTGGTAGCGCGAGAGGGCGTCCTCCGGGTACCGCGACGAAGCGATGACGAACGCGCCGCAGCGGAGCAGGCGCAGAGCTGTATGGAAGCCCAAGTTGATCCGCGCGCCGGTCACCAGCGCCGTCTTTCGAAACAGCCAAAGGTGTCCCGGCATCGAATACGCTCTCTCGACCAGGTTGAAATCGCCGCATGCAACGCACATCGATCCCAGTGTCTTGTGCCACTGCTCCTGGCTGAGCGACCTGCTGCAGACATAACACAATTGTCGCTGGGGAATCTGATTCTGGTATCCCTGAACGTCTTCGCTTTTCAGCCCATCTGCGGCCTCCTTCTTCTGAGGCTTCTTGAGGCGATCCTTGATGGACTTGATCATGCTAGCATATCGCCACCCAGCCATTTGGCGGTCCCATCGTTGACCCCATCCCTCAGGCCAGATGCATTTGGCCACCTCTACAGCCCTCGCCGAGGGCCACTTGGGCATATAAAGGGCGGTGAGACTCGGAAGCCCCGCCGTCTCTGTTTCCTTTGACAGGTCGTGGTCGGCTTGCAGTTGCCTAGCCACCTCCTCAACGGGAGCGTTGTCGATGAAATCTCGAAAGTCGGACAGCTCAAGTAACATCTCTGTTTTCGGTGGTGTCGTCTTCCCGTAGGTATTCATGTCAATACCCCTCCGAGACCGGTTGTAGTATCTCGAAGGATACCATTGAAAGTCTTCTGCCCAAGCGACGTTGTGGGATTCGATCCATTTGACGCAGCGCAGGAAAGAATCCAGCCATGCCATCTCCTTTGGGGTTGCGGGGAAGAAGTTCCCGTACTTCCTGGCTTCAGTGCTGACCGTCCACCGATCCCTCCTAACTTCCCTTTGGAAGTCAATATAGTCCTGTTCGGACACCGAAGACGATAGGCGAGGAAAACTGCCCTCGTAGGTGTGAATAGACTTGATGCCCGCCGCGGCTGTGTGAAAATCCTTTCGAAGGTCCGCATTAATCCCGGCTATGGTTGCTATCTTCCTCTCCATTCGTTGGTCCTCGGACTCCTTGTCGTCCTCGTCTCTGTCCCTCGTCGGCAATCGTACATTCTCAAAGTATACGGAGAATATCCGAAAGCAGACGTCTTGAGGCACCAATACCGGATGACGATACATCATGTACGACTTGGACTTCTTCCACGTCCGAGCTCGGCCGCGGAGCTCTCTCGTGATATGTTGCGTGTTCTTTACGCCGTAGTATCCAGACTTCGAAGACATCAGATAACCTGGATACATCTCGAATAAGTCGGCAAGATGCCGAAGCTCAGATGACCTGGCTTCTTTCAGTCGCCGATGCCCGCTGAAAAGGTGTGGGAGCAGCTCGATACAATCAGCCACGGTCTTCATACGTGACCCTTCAGGTCGCTCCTTGGGGACGCCATGCGGGGGGTAGTAGTCCGACAGGTCTACATGGTCAGGAGTGAACTGGCACACGGCCTTGAGGCTGACGCTCCTCGAGTTGCGCTGATTCCCGAAGAAGTTCTCGTCCCAGAGGATTTCGTCATTGAAGATGGTCTCGAGATCTTTTTCGAGCTTCTCCATGAACTCCAACCCTGTGGCTTTTCTCTTCTTGAAGTCGTAGCACATGTATTCCATCTCTGGTAACTGAAAGCGGCTACTCACGACCCTCCGGTCAGTGATCAGCAACGATAGCTGGTTGAAGGCCACCCAAAGCTTGGACAGGCGGCCAAGATCCACATCTCGCAGGCTCGACCAAGGGTCGCTTGTACGGATCGCAACCTCCAAAGCCGAGCCACCATCGTCGATACTGCGCTCGGCGGCAAGAAGGTCAAGGACCCTGTGAAGAGGTAGGACGTCGATGATTGGCAGAACGAGCTCAACGGGAGTCACCGAGAGGTGGTGGGCTGTGCGCGTTAAGCTGGGTGGGATGGGTTGCTTCATGTTGGACTGCATGGTGAACGACTTTGATGGTGATGTGGTAGAAAAGAGAAGCGGTGGTGTACTACAAGAAATTGAACGGTTCGTACTGCGTTCGCACTGATATTCTCATAGAATGAGAGACACTTGAACAAGATGAGGCGAGCGTGCTCGGATTATTATAGGTCATAAAGGCTTCGGAGATTCGTCTGTGACTCAGCGTTCGTAAGGGTCATCATCTGGTACCTGGTAGGATACTCCGTCAATCACCTGTGTCTTGGACCTTCACTTGAACCATAAGGGTATCTTCACAGGCAAGCAGACAGTTCATAGAGAAAAGAGGTAACGACGAAGACGAGCGACAACCACGGACGGCGATGACGATAGCAATACCGAAAGTCAGTCTACATGTCAGCCGGAAGAAACTGAATCTCTCTAGCACACGAAAACTAGGCGATGTAGCCAGCAAGATTTGACAAGTACGATTCCAAACGATTCCTCCCCTTCGTCGACCTTAGTTGCATCTCGAGCCTGCAATGACTAATTGCCTATAATATCCGACTTCCTCGCAGGTGCACATAGCAGAATTCAATTATTGGATAGATGCTGTACTTTTGATAGATGGACAGGCAATTCTTTTGCAAACCTTAACTTGTGACTACCTTGCTGTCCGTCTTCCAAATTGAGTTGAGGTTAAGCCCCACACCTTCGTTAGCTCCCTTGCCAAGGACCCAACTCGTTATTTCGTGGGTGAAAGCCTACCGCTGTGGATGATTTACCCCTTTCCCGTCTTAAGCCTGAGGTGATTAACTAAATCAAGCCTGCTGGGGCGACGGCATTGGCAGGTTTCTATCTTCAAGTTGCCGCGCGATTCGGACAAAATCGTCATGATCATCATGAGCCTACCAACAGTCCGCAGCCTCGGAAGAACGCCAATAACACGGGTCCCACATGATGCAACTCTTGTTGCTCGGGATAGGGAGGTTGAGCTCTTTGACGATGCGATCAGCTAGCTGCGCGGCCTTCCATCGAAATGTGATCGTGTCTGCGATATCCATGGGGTGGCGGACTTCGTTCTTGTCGATCGCAAGTCTAAGATGTCTGATTATGTGCGTCCCCTCCCCGCCTACCCAACCATGGGGGCAGGTCTGCAGGAAGAGATTCGCCATCGTCCTCACACAGTCACAGCACTTGGCGCACGAAGCTGGGACCATGGGCCTTTTGTCCTCCTCGTTGTGCTGAATGATTCGGCGCGGGTGGTCGCATTTTATCTGGATGAGCTCATCCATCATCTCAGACACTGAAAACACCTCCGGGCTGTACTCCCTCTGCGAATCCATGACGCGAGGGTGCTTGATGTAGTTGTGTTTCTTGGAACGGAATTAGGCCGAACGGCAGACGAAGAGAGTCTCGACTATGTCTTGTGTGCAAGTGGTAAAATGCACAACAACGTTTGGACAAGAAATCAACCGCTATCAGCGAAGATTGGCGACCGTCAAAGCCCGTCGGTTCACTCGGTGGGGCTGCGAACCATTGCAGTTCTGAAGTCTTTTTTTTAGCAGCACTGCTGCAAAGACTCAAAGTCAGTTCCTTATTGCAAACTATTACGAACCGTAGCTCATCTTATCATTTGTGATCCGTTGTACTCTACGAGCAGTTGCTTTCTTGGGGATGACTATCGGCCTCTATAGTCTTCATTATCCAAGTTCATCGCTTGTCTCATTTGGTATTGAATTGCTATCGAGACTTCTCGGGGCCAAATGCTCAAATAAATACCAGTACTCGCACGAACAATAAAAGTCTTCCTACGTAACTGCCAATCGATCAGTTTCTCGGTGTGATAAGTGACGTGAGCTGCTATGTCCGACCCCTCTAGGCGGTTTACATACTCGGATTGTATCCTGCGATCCTTATGTTGGACGAGGCACCGGCCGAGGTGCTCATACTCTACTTACGAACTGTGTATCCTCTCACAGGGTGAGCAATGAAACTTTCTCAACATACACTCGAATTCATTGTAGCAGTTTACATGACGAGCCTACCAGATAACTCAACTCATATGAAATTGTTGATATCGTGACCTTCGATCAAACCCACGCAGACTATCTCTGTAGGCTGCTTGGGAGTAGATCCTCAGGCAACCTTCCTCGTTCATCACAAGGTAGTTGCCGGGTTTCCCGGAAGGCTGGTTGAATGCACAGGACAGTAGCTGCCTGGTGGTAATCATTCCCTCGTCACTTGACCAATTTCTTCCTCAAAACCGGACCCTACCCACGCAACTGATGGAAAGCCTCATTCCCAAGGCTCCACGGGACGATGCCAAGACATCACACATAATCGTCGTGTCATGATGTCTACGACAACCACAAGCAATATCTTCAAGCCCGCCGATCGCGTTTCGGGTGCGTCGCAATGCATGCGCGCCTTTCGCCCTCCGAAGAAGTCTAAGCGCCACTACGACCTTCCTTACCTTCCGGTACGGCCGGCAATGTCATCTGATGTTTCCGCAAGACACATCCACCAAGACAGGGCAGCCATCAAGAAGCAAGGAGCCAACGGCTTTCACGACAGAAGTTCTCTAGGGGTTCATGACGGCTTTCGTTTGGGTCTGGAACAAGGCTGTGGGGTGCCTTTGGGCAGGATCAGGCTGAAATGGTCAAGACTAATCCGCGTTGGACGGACCAAAGGGGAGAAAAGGGTCCTGTGTAACGGGGGGCAGGGGCTATCGTTTCTTTTCGAGCAGGCTGGGAGAAGGCGGCGCGAGTGTCTCTCGCTCGCCTCGTCTCGCCAACCGCCGCCGGGGCGGCTTCGGCCGGAAAGTCCCAACAGCGAGAGATTCGACGGCCGAAAGACAGTGGCGAAAAGGAAATCATTGACGAGGCTGGACTATCACCTCTGTGAAGGTGAGCCGATTGTGATGCGCGTGGCCACACAATCCAGGGACAGGACAAAAAAAAAAAAAAGAACAAGCGAAGGGATATTTTCGTCTTCGTTGATGCTCATGTCGGTCTCTTCTTCGGTGGAATCTTTGAGCATGCAGAGCACACCCCGGACCATCAACCGTCAAGTCTCGGCCCTGCGAGAACAAGCCCATCAAATCTAATCTTTTGTTTCCCATTTTGACTTTATGTGCGTTTTCCTCATCGAAAAGGGGGTGAGGGGTGTCGTCGTTTGTTGCGACTTGCCGCCCGGTATTGCCGCCAGCAGCCGTCGTCGCCGTGAAGATTACGGACTCCGGCCTTGCGCGCGCACGGCAAGCGGGCCAAGGTGGACGAGAGATTGAGGGACAGATACAGCTATGAGTTGGCAGCGCAGATGACACGCCCCCCAACGGAGAGGGGACCACGTGCTCGTTGCTTTTCTGGAAACCTTCTCGATGGGACGGGGTTACATCGGGATTGGGGCCTGAATTGATGTCCGCCTTAACCATTGCTTTTTCCTGTTCCTCTTCTGAAGAGGGAACCAGAGAGAGAGAGAGAGTGAGGAAGACTGTAGGTTTCGTCATGGCTTGAAGACCGCAGCACTGTGAGAAGGGGACAACGGCCGGTGGAATTGAACGAAGACAGGTTTCTGACGCATGCGATGTCGTCAGACGGGTAGATGCAGCGGAGGATCGATACAGACTGGGCTCTGGAGGCGAACGAGCAATACCTACTTACGGACAGGGCACACACTTTCTCTCGGCGTGCCGTCTGATGTTACAGCGGGCCTGAATGGCTGTCTTGGTTTGATCTTCAGTTCATCCGATGTTGGTTGGGCCATGCTGTTCCGAAGAATACGCGCTGCCCGGTCTCGTCTTTTCCCCTCTTCGTCTACTGACGCGGCTACGGTAGCATTCTGCCCCAAACGGCATCCTCATCCTTTCGTCTTGAGTGTGTGTGGTTTTTGCTAGCCGAGTCTTCAGAGATATTGTGAATGCAGGTAACCGGCGGTATTTCATGCGCGGCTGGTGTGGCTGATCTTATGGTCCAGATCGACATGGGGGGGTCTTCTCTTTGTATGGGCGGTGCCGCCGCCGCGCGGACTCTCATGCGGCTTGCTGACGGGCTGCAGACAGACGAGGCTTCCAACCAACCACACGATCTTACACAGTGCAGTCCCCCCAATGCAAGCCGCCGAAAGCCACGTTTGCGGGCAGGCTACCACGCGTGCTGTAAATCTCCGGTTGTAGATTTGCTGGGTTGGAAACTGATGAAATCTCACATCGTCCATCTATCTGGTCATATCCCCGGCTGATGGTCGACAAACAATGCGGCGCCCGGGGTTTCCGATCGAGAAAAACCTCCGACGTGGGAAGAAGTTTTCCCATCGGCGGTAGCGAATTCCTCCGTGAGAAGTGACGAGGTCGAAGACAACCCCCGGCACACGGGTGGGATGGATGGGATGGAGGGACGGAGCATCGTGCCCGCGGTGGGGTTTGCCGGCCGCGTGAAGATCGCGAGATCGCAAGATGCGAAGAGGAGGAGTTTGGTGGTGGGACGCCCACCCAGCACCCCAGTGCGTCAGCGAGACGAGGGAGCCACACACACAAACGCACAGATGCAGGAAAAGTGATCTGTCTCTCCCTCGGGGATGGGGTTCTTGTTCTTTGGGGGGGGAAGTAATCGGTAGACCCTTGTCAAACGACAGGGATGGTATCCCGGCGAAAGGGAGGGGAGCAGATCGAGAGGTGGACTCCGATCCTTGAATGTATCCAACCGCAGCCCGCATGCATTGCTTTTTCCTTTCGCTCTTGCGAACACAAAACCTCTCTTTTTCTCTTTGGCTTGGAGGATTTTCCCTTTTGGCACCGCGAGGGCAACTCACAGACTCCTTCAGAGGGAGGGATTTCTCTCCTGCCCAAAGAGGGTCCCCGTCTCGGATCTTGAGCGCCTGGGGCTGAACGAGATGTCTGGGCTCACATATCTGCTATCCCGTGACCTGAACCCGGGACGATCACCCTGCTCCATCGTAGAGAAGGGGGGCGGCAAATAGCGCCATCCGAGACTTTTAACCTTTGAGACATTTTCGCTTCTCGAGTGCTTTTGTGAGCGCCATGTCTGGGCTTGAGGCAGGCAAGGGATGTTGAGGCTCTATGAGATGGCGTTGGGGGCGGGGCGTCTGATGGTGCCCGAAAGTGTCCCAGCCATGCGGAGATCACGACTCGAACAGGAGTCAGGGCAAAAAGGTTTGAGAAGCGGCCGCTGGCCCTTTGGCTCGCGGTCGGAGATTCCCGTTGACGACGTCACTGCTAGAGGCATGTAGGGATAGACGGGGGGATATACCACAAGGATCGGGGAGGCCAGGCGAGGTGGTTAGAGTTTGTGATAAGAAACGATGGAGAGAGGCAGATCGAAGTTTGGGATCGCAGCCCGTGGACGGGTAGTTGCAGCCGGGTAGATTGCGTTAGGGGCCGCGCCGTCCGCCCGTTCGATGGTTGAGATGACATCTGGCGGTGACAGCAGCCGGGAGTCATGGATGGGAAAGCCGGGTATTCCGGGAGCGGGTACGTCCGTAGATGGCGCGTGTTTGTTGCGTGTTTTTTGTCGACGGGATCATCTTCGGCGAGGACTTGATGTCTGTGGGCGAAACCCGCGGGTTCGAGGTTGCATGCGGTTGATCCCGTCCGGCTTACGAGACGTGGAATAAGCAACGGCCGGGGGGGTTGAATTGAGGGAAGGGGAAGGGGAAGAAAGAAACAAAGACTTTGACTGATGGCAGGAACTCAAAAAACGTTGAAGGCGTGGCATTTGGTTGATTGACATGTTCGAGTCGTACGTAACGCAACGGCACGCCCACCTGTCCCGGGAACGATCCACATGGGCCACACGGGATGACACGGAAGGGCGAATCGAGAAGCGGTGAAACCGAGGCGAGGGTGCGAAGGATGAATAGAGTACCGCTTCCAGAGTTTCTTTCTGTGGAAAGACCAGAGGAATCGAGATTTGCTGTGTTTGGAAGTGTTGAAGGATTCGCTTGCTCTCTGCTCAGGGGCCGGGGTTCACGGGGAAGACACGCGGAGCATGGGGTCGTGGTCGGCAGTGGTACACGTGTTTGGCGGTAGGGCAGCGCAGGCTTCGTTTTCTGGCGAGGAATCCAGCACCATGTCGCAATGGGCCTCCATTGACGGCCTTCCTTGCGTCTTGGAAGGCGTTTTGGCATACTTAGTAGACGAATATTTGACTTATCGCCGGGGGAGGGATCATGGGATGCCCGCGGAATGGCCATCCTTGCTCCCGAGGACCCTTGCAGCAGCTCTTGGCGGTGTTCGCCATCGCGTTTTCCCCTTGCCGAATCGCTTGCCTGTTTGAGACGGAGGATGAGAGATATCGAGAGATGAGGAAGCCTGGGAGGAATCATCGCTTGATGGTGACGGAGTGTGGGATGAGCCGGAGAACGATGTAGATTGAGAGGTGGTGATGCTTCATGCCCGGCTTCGGTCAGTGACACCCACCATGAGGTCAAGAGGAAACCGGTGAACACCTCACATCCACGCGGCCAAGAGGCCGCCACCGTTTTTTGATTATTCTATCTAACTACCTACCTAAGCTATGAGTATGGGCTACCTACGGACGGCTTACACCAAGACCTGTTAACCGGGACATCTCCTATGCAACCACCCGCAGACTCCAACCAACCAGCCCCTCCTCCACAACACCACCTTCCCCAAACCATCCCGTTTGCCGAAAAAACGATATCAGATACGATGATTAAACCTTGTAAGTGAGAGCCTCGCGCACTAGCCGAGCGATTAAAACCTTTCCACCGGGTAAAGAAGGGAAAGCAAGCCAGATCCTCCCAAGATACCGCAACGGCTACCCGCGCTGGTCCCAGCCCAAAACATTACATCCTCCTCTTGATGCATTTTCCTAAACAAGACGTTCTCCGACCCCGTACACATTCCCCCTCCCGATTGCCTCCCCCCTTCCCCACACAGTCCCGATTGCCGCCCCCTCAAGACACAGACGAAGCCCGTCGCCGCATGCCGTCAGGCCGATGCGTCTTGACGCACCCCTCGCACCCGGGGCTAAACACGTCGGGCAGCCTCTCGAACAGGTCGGCGCGGTAGACGTACCATTCCCGATAAAACTTCCACTCCTCGAGGAACTCGGCCCAGTAGACGAGCCGCTCGACCAGCCAGCTGTCGCGCAGGCGGTCGCGGACCCACTCGGCCGACTTCTCCTCGCGGCCGGCGTACGTGCGGAGCACCTCCGGGCGGAGGTCCGCGGCGCGCTCGGCCGTGTGGTAAACGAACTCGGCCCGGCGCCCGCGCGCGGTGAAGTAGGGCACCGAGCCCCACTCCACCACGGCGCGGGAGCCCGTCAGCGAGACCACGCGCACCGTGCAGCAGATGCACTTGGCCTGCGCGAGGAAGTCGCGGAGCACGGTCGAGGCTTTGGGGGTGCTGGTCCGAGGGTGGAGCTGCATGGTTGCTGCTGCGCCGTTGGTGGTGCTGCTGGTGATGCGATGCGATGCGATGCTACTGTTGGCGTTGCCGCCGTGGACGATGGCTTGGAGGAGCTGCGGGAGGCGGCATCGTTAGTTCGTCCGGCTGCCTGCGTCGACGACGGTGGGATGATTGTGGGGTATCAGAGTATGCGGTGTAGGAGAGAGGCAAGGCTCACGAGGGTGTTGTCGATGGTCTGGCGTCATCAACACGACAGTATCCAGATTCGCCTGTGAACTTGGCAAAGGGGTACGGATACTGTGTACTGCGGTACAGAACACGCGAGCGAGCGAATGTATCTCGAAGTGTCCAAGACCGGTTTGTTCTTTTTTCCTCTCTCCCGTCCCTCTCGTTGCTTTCCCTTTCCCCCTTCAGGCCTGACGGGCTCCGATCCCAATCCTAAATCTCGACCACGCGAGGATCCTGATTGCTGTTTCGCTCTGGGCTAGGCTGCGGTGCCAGGGCTGGCCTTGCAGCGGAAGCGCGACGGGAGGAGCGAATCCTTGACACGGGGGGGAGAAGCTGGATGTGGTTTGTTGTCTTTGATGATCCAAAGGGAGAGGACGGACGGCGGCGGATGGGCGAGGCTAAGGTCGGAGGGACGGGACCCATGCTTGCCATGCAAGGATCGGGAAGCCCAAGTCAATTGTTCATTTATAGGGGCCTCTTTTTGCTTCTCCCTATGGCTATTCTCGTTACCCCAGCTCTGGCTCTGCATGCCTTGCTTCCCCATGATGTCTCACTCGCCTTGGCAGCGAGGCCCTGGTTCCTCGGGCGGGGCCCGCAATGATGCAGTCCCTCATTTGGGTGGCTTTATTCTTTATTTTTCTGAGCCGTCATAATGATGAAGGAGGGTGGCATGCGTGTCTTGAAGACTTTGTAGCAAGAGCCGAGGAACCAGACAGAGAGAGAGAGAGAGAGCCAGGAAAAACGAAAAATCGGAGAGAGCAAGGAGCCAGGTGGTGGTGGTGGTGTCGTCCCCTCGCTTCATGCTATCGTTGCCACGGAATGCTTTCTTTTTCCGCCCCGTCTCTGTGGACACCCATTTGCGAGAATAAAAAAAACCAGAGAGAAAGCGACCATTTCTGAGCCAATGTCACTCTCCCAGGCTTCTTCTCAGTCTGCTCGAGCTGCCATCCTGGGTTCGAAGTCAGAGAGGAGACCGGGGTGGCATACCCGGGCGATCGCCCGCCCCAATCGCGCGGAACCCCATCTGCGGACGCAATGGCGCTATCACATCTCAGATTGCACGACGCATGACAGCGCCACGCCAGGATTTCCCGCAGTGCGTTCTGCTGCTGCTGCTCACCCGTCTCTTGCTGCACCTCTCTCGCTGTCTCTCTCACTGTGTGTGTGTCTCCGACTCAGGGAGATGGAGGGCCATCAAATGGCAACCTCCATCTGGCTAGTCGAAGCGAAACTGCCCCTCATCCCTTCATCTCGCAGTCCGATCTGTCTAGACCTTTGGGGGACAGCATCCTATCTTCGGGAATATTACCATGCAGGCAGAACAATAACTCCTCCCGGCTGATTTCCTCAGACTGGATTGATTGATTGATTGGTAACCCGTCGCGCGACCAGACACCGCACCGCACTGTCATCGCTGGTCTGATATTCGCTGGGATGTCCGTCTTCCGAGGAAGCATAGCGCCGAGTTGCGTGCAGGGGTGGACGACGGCCTCGGCCAACAAGGCTGTCCCGGCTTGGGGTTCAAAATGCCCATCGTATCCCCCTCCCCTCCAAGCGTCACTCGTGAGCAGCAAAAAATTCTTTCTTTTTTTGCGAAAGCCACTTAGCAAAGGGGCCGCCTAGAGTCGGGGGTGTCGAGAAAGAGGGTACTTCTGACTCGGCCTCTGCTTTCTGCTGTTCCATTCTCCATTCCAGCCCCCGTCGTCTCTCGGTGACCAAACGATAGACGGCGGCCACGAATGAGCGAGACCGGGCTCGAAGACGAGCCTGGGCCAGGGCAACGCTGATTTCTTTTGGCAGACCTTCTTTTTTTTCCGTCTTTTCTCTCCCGCCCACCGCCAAATGACATAGGTAATATTATTCCCATTTTCTTTTGGCTTGAGACAGGCCTGGCTTCCACACGGAAACATCCACCCTCTGTTCCCTTGATAATCTGTTCCGTTCGGTTATTCACACACAATTACAAGGAAAAACAACACAACATCTTACCTTTTCCAAAAGAAACCATTCCGGATAGGCCCAAAGTCCACATCCTACCCTCCACCCCCCCTTCCCCTACACCCACCCCGGTCTTTCTATCTGGGTAACTAACACCTTGGCGGGCGCATCGAGACTCAACCGGGGGTGGGATGAGAGAGGGAAGGGATAGAAACGTGCGTGGAGATCATCTCTCACACGGCACTACTCTACCCATCCCCATCACCCCCCATGTCGGCGGCCCTCGCTCGCAAGTGTCCCCATTGTAAAAAGAAGGTCGGTGCTGCAGCCACTTGGGCTTAAGATCTTACATATACCCGCTCGTCGAACCAGCACCTCGGGACGTCGGACGTCTTCTGACAGGCTACTCCTCTCACCGGTATCTGTCGCCCCTTGCACTTGCCTTGACCGAGTTGTCATGCCAAGTCCCCATCTTTTCCCAGTCTAAATCGACTTCACACACACAATCACACACAACGACACACCTGTTGCTGTACGTCTGACAAGCCCGACGTTGGGTTGGGAGTTTTGTTGCTGACAGGAAACCCCATAGCAAGCAAAGCCCGTTTATCGCCCTCCGCCGGCTCCATTGTTTCGTCTAGCGGCCCCTCCCTCGTGCGGTATCAAAACCACGGTTTTCTTACAAGCCCGCGCCAACCCGCCCTCCAAACCAGCTCCAACCCAACATGTGCGAGTGGTACCGCCGCAACTACGCCTGCGGGCACCACTTCACGGGCGCCTCCGAGTGGTGCTACCGCTACAGCCAGACGCAGAAGCGTTGCAAGGTCGTCGTGACGCAGGTCGACTACGACGCGTCGGTCTGCAAGAGCTGCATGAAGAAGGGCCACAAGACGGAGGTGCCCTGGGAGCACATGATTGACCGGACCAAGTACGATCCCAGCCGGGACGAGTGAAGATGAAGGCCTCTCAGCTTTCTCTTCATTGCCGACCTTTTGGGATAGGTGGGATATGCAACAACGACAACATCTTGAACGACAACGGAATATTCAGCAACTGCCGTAATGACGGCACCAAGCGGCAAGCAAGCCCTGACACGGAAAGGAATCAGGCACACCAAAACAATACCCCCTCCTTAATGAACCGCCTCCAAACGGCGTGGGTTCTCTCTTTTTTCTCATCATGGGCGAGACGGATCTTCTCCCCGCAGCGGCGTTGGGCAAAACGCATCGGTATCGTGGAGGTAGCCGCGGACATGGCTTACTAGAGCATCAGGGTTCGGCGCACCTTATACCCATTTGATTTTTTCAGGTCCTGTTGAGGAGTCAGTCTGCGTTTCTCTTGTTTTGCTTTGATTTTCACAACGGTCTGTTATCTGTTTTCTCGGTTTCCCATTCGGGATTTTGGAGTATTGGAAGCGGGGTCTTCGCACCAAAAAAAAAAGTGTACTTTACCAGTCTGTTGATTTACCTGTCGGGTCGGTTGAACCGACCACACACTCAATGAAAGCCAGTGTTCTACTGCCTTGTCAACTACTGTTTTGGACCTTGAGTGAACTCGCTGAGGATCTCCTATCTGTGTTTCCGACGTCGGCGGTGTGCTGTGCCTGCCCCCTCGTGTTTCCAGGGTCGATCAACGCCGTGATCCAGAGAGGAATGCGCCGGTGTGGGATCTCAGACACGAGCCTGCCGGAGCTTCGACACTCAACCACTCGCATCCCATACCGAGCCGGGGAAGGTCAGATGACGGACGATGACGAGCTTTCCGTTCCACCTGGGGCGGGGTTGAGATGCGTGGATCTCACGCGCGACGGTCCAGCTGCATCATGTGCATGTGCGTCGGCGGGACGGACACGGCACAGGCACGATGCTAGGCCGTTCGTGGGAGCGGCTAGGAGGTGAGACAAGATTGACGTGAGCCGCGATGCACGATGGTGCCCGCGAGAAAGACAGGCCTAGCTGAGACACACATGGCGGAAGGCTTGATAGCTGAAGGCGAGGGGCGTTTGTTGTGATCGGGGCTTCACGTTCTTCGGGATGGGAGTATCGGTGGCTGGCGTTGCTGGGCCGTTGAGACAACCCTTTGGTCCCCTGGTGGCGGAGCTGCCGGGACAGAATCTCAACCTCTGTCGGCGGTGCGTTGGAATTGAGGTAGCTGCGGCTGGCCTGGCCTCTCCGGAGATATTGACGTGCGGTAGATTGGGTTCGAGGTGGGACGGGATGTTGGCTTGACGTCGGGGGTGCACGGACAACGCCGGAGGTGAGCTCCGGGCTCCGGACACATGGCGGCGACCCCTCTTCCGGAAGGGAGAAAAGGTTTCGGGTGCCCTGCGTGGCCTCCGCAGAGTACAACGGCATTTGAGGGCCAGTTCTGTGAGTTTCAAGTTCACATGGCTGACTTGTGGGATGAAAGACTTTCGTTATAAAGAAGCCGTTTCTTGGCAATACTCGGCTCCCTCGAGGTTAATCTTAATGGACATCGACTTGATCTCTGTTCGAAAGAGAGACAGCCCTCGCGAAACACATGGGAGGTTGTCGCTCTCAGCTCTGACCAGAATGTGAAAATAGAAACCGGCCCGTTTTTTAAGGATGAACTTAGTTGGACCCAATGTTGACCATGTGCATACAGGAATCCGCATACGAACAGCGACAGGCAATCACTACAACTGCCATCAAATAGTCGCCAGTGCTTGATCACGTAGATGCTGTTTATTTACAGACCCAGTTTATCAAAGACGAAACTGAAGTCTCGAGTAGACCGTCTTTCGTCAATCAGTTTGGCAAAACCCGGAGCAAGACTCCGGAGTGACACCGGCGGCCCAAAAACGGCGCAACTCCCCACCACCCGCTGAGTCCTCCACTTCGACGACACCACCTGCCCTTCTGAATGGCCCATCGCCGCAATCGGCCACTCAATCGCGACACCACCAAATCTCTCAATCCTCCCCCACGCAGAAAAGTTACCTAGCCGTATCCACTCTTTTAGCAGACCATTAACTAATCATGCTTCCCGAATCTGATTAGCTGAGGCCCTCGGCCAAGGTTCCCAGGTTCATTTTGCTGTCGCCGTCGCGGTTGAACATCGCCCGGCGCAAGGGTTTTTTTTCGCGCGCAAATCTCGCCTCTGTCCTCGCTCACGCCACGAACCGAGCCGTCTTTAAAATTTCGCTCTCGTCGCATTGCTTTTTCCAACCCTCCGTCACGGACGAATCGCATCATTTGCGTCATTTCTGCAACCTGCAACTAGTTTGGCCAAACAGAAGTTACGCATTCTTTGCGACGAACAGCAAGCATGGGACAGCCATCCTTCGCGGCATCGAATGCCATCATCTACGTCACTTATGGACTCTTCCTGTACGAATCAAAGTCCCACACATTGGGAACCTTTTCATGACCCCAACGCTCTCATCGGGAAAGAACCTTTCGCTGACCACGCGCGCAGGATCACGGGAACTGCCATTGCGTGGAAGTTCCGCAACCAGTCCAAGGGAGAGTTCCTGTCCGGTAACAGGACTCAGACGGGTCAGAAATCCCCTCATGTTCTTGCGATCGCGACCACCACAGCGAGGCTTCATGCACCTTGGAGCGCTACTGTTTCTTCACCTTGCTAGCATGTCTCGCCTCACTGGACACCACCCGACTAACCTCTTCCTCCCCGCAGCCTTCCCCCTGGCCCTCAACTTCATCGCCTCTGGTGAGTGAGGAAGACGCGAGAGCGCTTCTCCGGCCCGAATCATTCTCTTGAGAACAAGAGAGCGGCAGAACGGCAGCAGCAGCAAGAACCACGAATCCAAACCAGCGGAAGCCATGCGCGCAGAGACGACAGACTTGACATGAGAGGGCGCGACGTCGCTCCTCATGGCCCCAGAGTATCAATGAGACGAGCAAGATCCAGGGTGCCACATCCAACGAAACTGACAGGCAGGTTCGTAACCCAAAGATCAACAACAGTCCTCGGGGGCACCTCCCTCTCTTCAGTTTGGCCTGGCGGACTTGTCCCCGTCTAATCCGGCCACCTGACCTGGAACACGGCAGTCGAGGATAGTCCCCAGACCGGCCGAAGAGCGGGCGGGACCCCGAGGATGCGGCTCACTACGGGCGCGGATTTGAACCAGGCGGCGCCGGCATCCACCCTCCCACCCCGAGAGGAGATGCCCGCCCCCGGGGAAATGAAGCTGAGATTGTACCGTAATTACTCGATCAAGTTAATGCTTGCGTGGGAAACGTGCTGCCGCTCCAATATCTCTCCCCTCCTCCCCCCTCTTGTGTGCGTTGACAAAAAACTAACCACCCCAGCCCTCGGCTCCGGCATCCTCTTCTCCTACCCGGAGCTCGCCACCATCACCGGCGTCCAGGGCGTCGTCGTCTACGCCCTGTCCTCCTCCCTCCCGCTGCTCATCTTCGCCGTCCTCGGCCCCATCATCCGCCGCAAGACCCCCGAGGGCTTCGTCCTGACGGCCTGGACCCGCCAGCGCTACGGCACCATCGCCATGCTGTACCTCAGCTTCATGACCCTCGTCACGCTGTTCCTCTACATGGTCGCTGAGCTTTCCGCCATCGGCCAGGTCGTTAACGCTCTCACGAGCCTCGACGGCCTCCCCGTCATGATTGTCCAATGCGTCATCACCACCATCTACACCTGTACCTATCCCCCCTTCCCCCAACCCACATCCTCCCACTAACACACCTCACCACAGCCCTCGGCGGCTTCAAAATCTCCTTCATCACGGACAACCTCCAGGGCGCCATGGTCGTCTGCCTCATCATCATCGTCGCAATCACAATGGGCGTCAAGACCGAGATCGACACCTCCCTCATCGACACCTCCGGCCTTCTCAAACCCACCCTCCTCGGCTGGCAGCTCCTCTACATCCTGCCCATCTGCATCCTCACAAACGACTTCTTCCTCTCGGGCTTCTGGCTGCGCACCTTCGCCTCCAAGACCGACCGCGACCTGCGCATCGGCGTCTCCATCGCCGTCGCCGTCATCCTCTGCGTCCTCACAATGGTCGGCGTCACCGGCCTCGTCGCCGCCTGGTCCGGCGCCCTGCCCCTCGACCAGATCGCCGACTCGGGCTCCGTCGCCTTCTTTTTGTTGTTACAGCAGCTCCCCGCCTGGGTCGTCGGCATCGTCCTCGTCATGGTCTGCACCCTCTCCACCGCCGCCTTCGACTCCCTGCAGTCCGCCATGGTCTCCTCCGCCTCCAACGACCTCTTCCGCAACCGCCTCAACATCTGGTGGATCCGCGCCGGCGTCGTGCTCATCATTGTCCCCACCGTCGTCATCGCCCTCAAGGCCCCCTCCGTGCTGCAGATCTACCTCATCTCCGACCTCGTCTCCGCCTCCGTCATCCCCGTCCTCGTCTTCGGGCTCGTCGACCGCTTCTACTGGTGGCGCGGCTTCGAGGTCGTCGTTGGCGGGCTGGGCGGCATCCTCACCGTCTTCCTGTTCGGTTTGGTCTTCTACGAGGGCGACGCGCAGAAGGCGGCGAATTTGCTGATTATTTCCGAGGGTTTGTACGCCGACGACTGGAGCGTGTTTGGCGCCTTCGTCGCCGCCCCTGTGGGCAGTTTCCTCTGGGGCTTTGGCGCGCTTGGCGTGCGGCTTGGGTTCCAGTACGCGATGGCCAAGAAGAGCGGCCGCCGCTTCGACGCGCTCGACCGTCCTGTCGGTCCTGGCTTCACCCCCGACGCGGATGGCGTGCCGCATACCGTCTCGCGTGAGGAGTACACCGATGTCACGTCCGATGTTGAGATTGTCAAGCCCGCCGGCAAGTTTTTCTAAATGTTTGACCCAAATCAACAGACATGTCGTCTTAGACGAAAACTTACATAGGGGGACGAAATAGGGGGAGATTTTAATTCTGTATTTCGTGGGTGGAGGAGTTCATTCCGCTCCAATGCAACCGCGGCCATTTTCCAGCCAAGATAATCAGACACATATAATACACTCATTACATGTTTTTTGCTCCTCATCCACACATTCCCTCCCGCCGTGAACCCATCTTACACCTTGAAGCCGTTCCTCCTCTCAAACTCCGCCGCCTCCATCGCCGCGACCTGCGCCTCCTCAGCCTTCCAGCTCTTCATCGTCGTGACCTTCGTGTTGCCCCACACAATCCACTTGCCGGGCTTGTACGACTGGGGGTCCAGGCTGCGCGACAGCACGAGGTACTCGTCCAGCTTCTCCACGCGCGTGCTCTGCGGCACGGGCTCGCCCGTCTGCTTGTCGACGCGGCCGAGCCTCTGCCTGCTGACGATGCCGACGACGGCCTGCTGCAGCAGCGGCGACTTGCCCGCGGGCGGCAGCATCGCGAGGCGGTGGCTGAGCAGCTTCGGGCGCCCGTCGTACGCGAGCAGCTCCCAGGTGAGCTTGTGCGTGGCCTTGCGGCGCGAGATGGTGGCCGAGAGCGTCTCGTAGAGGTGCGGCACGCAGATCTGGCGGAGGGTGTCCTTGTCGCCGGCGGCGAGGGCCTCGGCGAGCTGCTGGTGCAGGGCCTTGGCGGTCGGCACGATGGAGGAGGTCTGGAACTGCGCGCGGGGGCGTTTCCAGAACTTGGGCATGGACTGGAGCTTGAGGCCGGCGAAGACCATGAGGTCCTTGGCGCGTTGCTTGAAGCGGGCGAGGAGGTATGGGTAGTAGGGTTTCGGGGTGCTGGCGAGGGGGAGGGGTACGAAGGTGCCTGTCGACCCGTGGTGGTTAGCTGGGGAATGTAGTGTTATACTGGAGCGTACGGTGACATACCAGGGAGCAGCATGTTCGACAGGCTCTGCTGCTGCTGCTGCTGCTTCTCCATGTTCCTGGCGGAGAACTGAGCAGAGGCCTTTTTGTCCTGGGCGGCCATGGCCTTGCCCATCATTCGCATGTCGGCGGAGGGGGGTTTGGCGCCGGCGTAGCCCCTCGTCGTCGCCGGTATCCTCCTCGCAGTGGTCGGGAATGAAGCGCGGAACAACGTCTGGTGACGCATGGCAACTGGTCGACCCAGGCCGAGTAATGGCCTCGCGGCGTGGTATACTGTGCTGCTGCTCATCGTTGTCGTGCGGGCGAGAGCGATGGCCTGACGTTCCCGGGGCAGAACACTGCGGCTGGCGATCACCAAAAATCTCCAATTGACGAAAAAAAGAATGGTCCAAGCTTTCGGGACGTCGTTTTTTCTCGGACGACCCTCTGGTGTGGCGCAGGCAGCTTGCCCAGCGTCGGATAGCCACAGGTGTGGCTGGTGCTGGCCAATGAGCACAGCTTCAATGGACGTGCTCGCGCTGGTGGGCCGTTTTATCGTTATTTCTGTTTCTCTTGGAGGGATTGACTGGACATGACGACGGAAGACGTGGACGGTGGGTTAGGGGATCCGCCGCCAACGTAAGGAACGGGGCATCCAAGGCGGGACCGGCTGTAGGGACCCTGCTGGGCTGTGGTCGACATTGATTGCTTCAGCTCAGGGACTTGGGGTTGAATGAGATCCTGTGTCAAATTGATGCTTTTCGTGCTTTGCGCCTTCAGGCGTGATACGCGACAGCTGGAGTATCTTGAGTACCCGGAGCCGAATGTAAACATTGACTGACTTGGTGAAAGTCTCCAGGAAGGCCGCTTTTTTGCCATGTCCGCAATCTCGTGAGATGTCGATAAGAAGCTTCACAACAGCTACTTTGCGGACTTGTCTTGCGGATAGCTCGGCCAAGCTCGTGTTACTCGCAAGACGGCAGCCGACATTCTCGCTTGCCTCACGGGAACTGCCCTCTCGTAGACACTCCCCATACAGCTGCGTTTGGGCTGACCGTTTACGTGTTTGAGAGATTGGGCACTCATGCGGATGCGGCGCTTCCAGAACTCCACGAACCTGTCCGTCCACAGCTTAAACCATCCAATTGCCGTCAACCACCGTACCCTTACACTCTCTCCTCTGACACCATCCCCAAAAGACTATCCAGACACACCGTATCCTGTCAATTGATAACAAATGACGGGCCCAATGCAGAAGGTGGTGCAGGCATCCCAAGGTTCCATCCGCAGCCAATGACACAATTTGCAAAGAACGCCCGCTGGCAAAATAGCAATAATCCCACACGCACACACAAATAATCTTTCAAGGTTCTGCAGCAGTATCCCGTCGTATCAACGGTGCCTGGGTATTTCCGCAACTGAAACCACAGACGCAATTGCGGGCACGCGACCCCCATCCCCATCCAGGGTTCCTGTCATCACTTCACTTTCCCGCAGAAAAAAAGTGCCCGCCCGCTGGCTGCCCCAAATCTCCAAAACGTCAATCCGTCCGCCGCCCAAACCCCCCGGGCGCCGTCGTCGTCAGGTCCGAGAAAAAACAAGAAAAGGACAGCTACCCAATTTTGAAGAAAGTCAAAGCTCCCGGGAGCTCTCTCACCTACCCTAACGGTACCACCACCACAACCACCACCGCCAAGCCGGCACCCGAACAACCATCCGTCAGACAAACCACCGCGGCCAAGTCCGCCGTCCCCTCCTTCCTTCTTCCAAGCTCAAACCCCCCAGCCACGATAACCTCTTCCACCTCCTCCTCTCCTCACCTCCATCTGTATCCTTATCCATACAAAACAAACCACCAATCCCCAAAATCGACACATGCCACACCCAGCACCATCCTGAGAAACCTCCTCCCATATGGCCACCAGCCCCCGACGACAAACCTAAATGGCCCCTCCCGGCCCCCGACGCCCCTCCACGACCTCCTCCCAAAACGGCCACCCTCCTCACCACCACCGCGACGCCCCCTCCTACCCCAGCGGCACCGACGACATCGACCTCCCGCCGCCCTACGCGAACACCCCCGGCGCAGACCACATCTCCTCCTCCCTCCTCGAGCCCCGCATCGCCGTCGTCCTCAACGTCCCCAAGGCCTGGCGCCCCTGGCTCTTCGCCTGCCGCCTCCTCTCCATCGGCCCGCACATCTTCTGGGCCCTCTCCCCCGCCGTCACCCTCCTCGTCCAGATCATCCCCGTCGCCGTCCCCGGCGGCAAGAAGGCCGCCGCGAACCTCGCCGCCGCGGGACTCGGGAATGCTGCTGCTGCTGCCGGGGCCGCGGCCACGGGGCTGAGCTTCGCCGGAGGAGGAGTCGGAGTCGGAGGAGCGCCGGGGGCGTGTCCGCCGAGCAATTGGCCCCCGGCACACCCCGCGATACCGTTTCCCTGGACGGAGATGTCCCTGGGTCTGATGTGGGTGCGTAGTACACCAGATCAAACCTGTACGTTGGAGTAAGCTAGCTGACAGTTTGGTAGTGCGGCGCATCGGCCTATCTCTCCTTCTTCTTCATCGACTGCCTCATGTCCCGCTGGTTCGTACCCTCTCCCAGCTTGGGAAGCTACAGTAGCTAACTCCGTGCGCTACAGGTTAATCAACTACACCCCCTCCGCGACCATAATCCGCATCCTCACAATGAACGCCACAAACGCCTTCCTCACGGAGCGAATCCTCACCTTCTCAGGCGGCTTCGAGGACCCGAGGCTCCTACTCCCGGGCTGGGTCACAATCGCAACAGTCAGTCCCCTCCCTCCTTCTATCTACCCTTCCCTCGCTAACACACACATCCCCACGACCAGACCCTGACGATAGCCTACCACATCACCCAGCGCAGCATAAACATCAAAAAGGAAACCTCCACCTCGATAAACATCTTCTCCATCGCCAGCTTCATCAGCATGGTCTCCCTGCTCGCGCACCTCCACTACAACGGCTCCGACTACCCCGAGAAGCCCTTCGAGTCGCTCGCCCGCCTGCTGCTCGAGCTCGCGCGGAACGTCGTGGGCGACGGCATCATACCCGCGTCCTTTGACTCGTCCTCCACCACCGCGCGGACGGAGCTGTGACGCAGAGGACGCGCAGGCGAAAAGGCACGAGGTGAAGCACATAAGAATACAGAATCATACAATCATCACACTCGGATGTTGGGAAGTGGTCAAAGATACGGGGGCATGGGAACAGCGATGTTTTTGAATGTTTTCGTCTTTTTGTATGGATGGATGCCCTTTTTGGTTTGAGAAACATAGATACCCACGATCAAGGAATAATTGCGCTGGTTAATGATGGGAAATGTCAACATTGTGGTGGGGTGCATGGGCTTGACAGTGTCTACGTTCCGGTGTACTTGTGAGCATTTGGCGCCATTCGTGTGGTGGCTGACGTCTCTTCTGTTGATCTCGAAAAAGTGTCCGCGAGTCACGGTTGGGCAAATTGAGTTTGCGTTGGGTGCAGTCATACGCAACGTTGTCTAAACCTTGCAGGCTTCTGGAACGATGCAGCCCGTTGGGTTATCCGGGTTAGCCGTAGGTCACGAAATGCAAAATCAGCAGCAGGTGTGACGAAGGTGTCAATTTCTAAGACTATAATCTCTGGGCTGCCCAACCATCAATGAAAGTACGGCAAGCTCCAAAAGATATCTTGATATCTGACGTATCATCATCGCGTCGGAGAAGACGCAAGTCGCCCTAAACCATCACGCCGATAACCTCTTCCGTCGGAGGGATGGTATACCGTCCTACTACGTCGATATCGGGCGCCGACACTGCGCGGCGGGAGACTGCCAGGTTATTCATGCCTGACACTCCGCGAACCCGGACGTCAGCTCCGCAGACACATGCTGTGGTGCTGTGCAGGAGCGGCGGCGACCTGCGGCGGGCTTAGAAGCCGTGGACCTTAATAGTCTTGGCATCAAGTCCGAGACCCTCCTTCTTGTTGATGAGGAATTCCTGGACGACCTTGCGCTGGTCACCCTGGAGCTGGATGACCTCGCCCATCTCGCTGTCCGCTACGATGGTGCCATTGCAAGCTGAGTTGGGTTAGCTTGGTTGAGGATTGGGCGAGGGGAGGGCGGGGTAGCTTACCGAATTGCTTCTTGATGACCTTGAGAATCTTCTTCTGGTCGAATTTCTTTGGAAGACCCTGAACGGTGGTCAGAGTCTTTCGTCCATTGCGTTCTGCGTCGAAATGTCAGCGGTTGTCCTCATCCGAGTTTGCGCACGGCTAAACATGGCACGTGCGGGATTTGTCGTCGGCAGCGACGGTCGGGGGTGTCTGGGACGAGACGTACGTTGGATTCGTATATGAATATAATTTTGAGCCTGTTTGGTCTCTCCGGTATCTTCGTCGGCTTCGGCGAAGGGGTCTATTGAGGCGGATGTCAGCGGATCCATCTTTGGACATGGCGGTCAGGGAGAGGCGACGTGTCCGGGCGTGACGTGACCGACGACATCGCGGAGCACGCGACGACGACGGGGCAACACGCGGAGTCGACATCACAGAGAGAGACGTACCGTAGGTCTTGAGATTTTCAATTGACATAAACTCGTCTGTTCGGGGGTGACTGTGGGAAATGGGTTTTGTTGAAGGGATGAAAGATCAGCGACAGACGGCTTGCGGTAAGCGGTCTCGCTGCAGCGGGCGTTTAGATGAGTGGTGGTTTGGTTGTAGCTGAGTAGCGCGGGTGGATGTCTGGTAGCTAAAGCTGGCGGGAGGGCTGGCGGTGATATACGTGACGAGAAGGTGGCGAAGTCAGTCGGAGTCGAGAGTTGGCGAGGCCTGTTGGGTTTTGTACGTCGGAAGATTTATGGGGGGTGGGTGGTCTGCAGATCGATGACTGATGTTTGTGGAAGTTGGGAGAAATGACGGACTCGGTCGGGTACGGGGGGGGCTGCTCAGTGAAAGGGGGGGTGGCTCACTGCCAGCTGCACCAGTGTGGGCTTCGGAAAGGCCAGAGAGGGGCGCAGGTGGGAGGCACGGGTGACGAGGGGCAAGGCGCACGGGCCCCTGTCGCCCATCCAGCACCTCAGCGCCTGGGAAGGCACTGGACTGAGTGCTGACCGCCGTGGCCGATGCCTGCCCTGCCCAGAACCACCGCCTGGGGAGAGCGCTTACCCTGTGTCTGAGTGTGATTGGCAGATAAGGCAGGCTCCGATGGTTCTGGCCAATGAGCACCGCCCTGAGGCAGCCCACGGAAGATCCACCAAGCCCACCACCACTCACCGCACCTCGCTGCACTGCACCAAGCTGAACACACACACACACACTCGCTTCATCACCGACATCAGTCACAGACAGCAGCCATCATCTCAAGGTTGCTTTTCGCAGTGATTATCGCTCACAACTCACTGTACATCCACTGGACCAGCTCATCCAGTCAAGCAGGACCAGATAAGATAGCTAGAGTCACAGTCGGTGCAGTCACGCCAGCACGGCCCCCACCCAGCACCCAGCTGTGGCCGGCCCATCTCGAGGTCGTCTGCAAACCATGGCTAGTTGCGGCCTAGTGCTGGGGAAAGCAGCAATACATGCACCGTGGGCCGTACGCAGTAGCACGAACTGTTCCTACTGCGTACTTCGTATCTCGGCAACTAGAGATACCCATCGCCAACGTACAGCCACCCGCGACCGCCGGCCGGGCCCTTGCGCTACCGCGGCCCTCTCGTACCCTCCGCCCAGGTAACCCTCCAGATCCCACTACCTGCCGCCCAGCTCGGGCTGAGACAAGGGCCATCATCTGACGGGGAAACAAACACGACCATCAACCAAACCTCGCATTGTGCCTTGATCTAGCAGGGAAGGCGCGCGGTCGGCGGTGCCATGCGACTCGACTCGGCTTCTTTACTGCGTCGCAGTCGCACCAAAGAAGAGTCCGGATCCCCCTTGCGTCCATCCCGCCGGACGAATGACCCATCCCACCGTCCCGTCCCCACCTGCCGCCAGCCGGTTCAGACAATAAAGTGGCCAGCCCGGCGTTTCCGTCTTGCCGCATCCAGCGCTGCGCCCAGCCCTACGGATCATCCGCATCCGGGCTTTGCGCCGATAAAGCCTTGATCTGGGCCGTGCAGCAATCTGGTGGTCAAACCGGCCTTCGAATTATGACATAATATACGGCAAATTCCATACAGATGGACGCCCTCAGTCCAGCTCCGGCACGGGGAGATGGTCCACGAGCTTCAGATGCGTCAGCCCAAGCTTCTTCAAGGCCTCAACCGCGTTGCGATCCCTCAGCTCCTCCGTCTCCTTCTGCGTCACCAGCACAAAATCCTGCTCCAATAGCCAACTTCCCTCCTTGACTCCGTACTTCTCCGCCGTCGCCTTGTCAACCTTGTCGAGGTCCACCACGAGGCTCTTCTTGACACCAAAAACCGCGTCAGACTTCTCGTACGGGTCTCCCCGGATGTACAGCGCGCTTGCTTGTCGTCAGCTTATCTTTTCTCTCTGTACGCCATTGGGAGAACTTACGTGATCAAGTGATCCCAGCCCTTCTTCTCGAACATGAAATGCAAGTGTGCAGGCCGCCAGCAGTGTCGGCCCAAATGGTCCAACAGCTTTCCTACAGGTCCGTCGTGCGGAATGGGATAGCTGACGGGCTTGATGCCTTGGAACCAAAATCGCCCATTGTCGTCAGACACCATGACGCACCGCTCGCTCGCCTCCGTCCGTCCCTCGTGCTGCACGTCATAGTGCCCGCTGCTGTCCGTCTCCCAGATGTCGATCTTGACCCCAGACACCGGGTTTCCCTGGCGGTCCTTGACTGTGCAGACCACCAACAACGGCTCGCCCTCGGGATCTCCCGACATGTTCGCCCCGTTCTCCAGCGTCGGCGCATCGTGCGTGTGGAACGGGCCCAGGACGGAGCCCTCGGTCGAGTCGGACAGCTTCGGGTGGTTGATGCTGTCGACGAGCAGGGAGAGGCCGAGAATATCGGACAGGAGAATGAATTCCTAGCCTAGTCAGCTGCTCTGTCTCATTTATAAAGGGACCACGAAGGATGACTTACATGCCGCACGTCGCTGCTGATCTGCCCGCACCCCACGAGGAAGTTGAGCGCCGCCATCCACTCGTCGGTGCTCAGCCTCGTCTCGCGCGCAAAGTCGTGCAGGTGCGTGACGAGCCGCTCCATGAGGTACTTGAGGCGCGCATTCTGGCTCTGCGAGTTGATGCGGATCGTGTTGGGCGTGATGTTGTCGATCGTCAGATCCAGCAGCTCCGGTGTCTTGTCCGCCATGTTTGCTGTTTCTTGCCTGTTCCAATTGCGACTTTTCCACTGCTACAGTCCGATTCCTTACAGGTCGTCCGGAATCGAACGATTAAGTATGCCTTTCGGTCTGTGTAAGTTGCGTCGGCGAAGCTCCAAGGCTGGGGGGACCCTCTTTATGTAATGCTCGGTAATCACCAAGCTCCGAGTGGACTTTTCACTTCCCGGCAGCGTATCCCGTACCTGATGTGCCCCGCGTCACCTTGCTTTGGTGCTCGGTGATCCTCTAACCATGGTACTTTACCGAGTCGTTGACGTCGCGGGTGATTTCTTAGCCGATGCTCGTGGCCTCTCTTCCGAACCACTTTGCGCGGGCCATCAGTCGATATTTAATAATTACTTCAAAGCGGCTGAATACAAAAAGCCCTACGTCAGGTACGTTACAAATGCCCCAAGAATGCAAAAAGTCAACGCCGTCCCGTAGCTGGCGGCAGTTCCCTTACCCCTCCTTCTACAGCACAGCACTCCAGGGACTCCAGGGAGGGGGAAACAGCACAGTGGAATGCTCTGCGGGGTTTTAGCGTCGCTCTTGCCCCGCCCCCACGTCAGTCGCGGAAAGGTGGAGGCGAGCACGGGCCCTGAGGGAGTGTCTCCCCGGGTCTTGCTTCGGGACTTGAGAAGCGGAGGGCTCGGGGGGGAGGTTGGATGTGTAAGCGGCGAAGGGGGCAGGGCGGTCGGCGCCGCGGCGTGGATTTACGGATTAACGGGGCCGGGGGGTGTATCTCCGGGTCTTGACTTTGCCGTGATTTCCCCTTTGTGGTTTGCCTTAATGCACTTCTTCGTTCTCTCATCTGCTGCCACCACATGTGAATGGGAAACGGCTTTTGCAACGGCGTACGCCAACATGTCAGTTGCGCCATCATCCGGGTTTACGGAGTAATCCAAAGTGAAATGCTTCCGTGTCTTCCTTTGATCAACGGGTATGCAACGACTTCTCTTCCCGAAACCACACATGCAACCGACCCAGCACTTGCAGAAACCACAATGATCCGCCCGCCAACTCCAACAAAACCACGCCGCCCTCGCAAACCATCCTCAGCCAACACGTAACCCCCAAACCTACTGAATCCCCGGCGGCACCGACCCTTCACCCTCCGTCCCGGCCCCGTCCCCCGCCCTCACCGTCGTCTTCCCCACCGGCTTCCGTCCATACACAACATATCTGCCCACCATCAGCAACCTCCCACCACACCTCACACGGAAGACTCACATCGGCAAATACGCATGCGTCCGACAATCCCGCAACGCCATCCTCACCTCCGCGCAAAACGCCAACGTCTCGTCCCGGCTCCAGCCCAGAAACCGCGTAAACAGCGCCAGCGTCAGCCCCTCCAGCCCGGTATCCAGGTTCGCGTGCGTCCACATCCCGATCTCCTTGTAATGCGGGTCCCGCGGCCACCGGTTCATCGGCCACTTGCTCGTCCACTCCGTCACGCCCTCGAAGCCCGCCGCCTCCATCATGCGCGCATACGCCGGCGCGAGGTCCATCCGCCGGCCCGCCTTGGCGGTGCCCTCGCGGAAGAGCGTTGACAGCCGGTGGAGCGGGGACGAGGCGGGCAGCGTGCCGTCGTCGCAGCGGTAGGGGAGGGCGAAGTCCTGCATCTCGAGGTAGCCGCCGGGCTCGAGGTGCGCGAAGGCTTTGGCGAAGAAGTCCGGGTAGGAGGAGATGGAGCCCGCGAGGACGCGGCCGAAGATGAAGTCGAAGGGCTTGGACCAGGTCCAGTCCTTTTCGAGGTCGTCGAGCTCGAAGGAGAGGTTTGGGGGGACCCATGATGGTTGCATGGGGCTGAGGTCGACGCCGATGACCTTGGTGGGTGTTAGTGAGAGTGAGGACGGGGAGGTGAGTGTTTGACTTGAGCTTCGGGGTGTGCATCAGCTAAGAGAATGTCAGTGTCGTTTCATGCTGGCGAGGGAAGGGAGCCGCACCGTATTCCATCGCCCAGATTCCCGTCCCGGTGCCGCAGTCCAAGACGCGCTTGTTCTCTTCCTCGCCCTTGGGACATAGACACAGCTTTCCGCGGAGCGTCAATATCCACATGTGGTGTTGCAGATCTGTCTCTCATCAGCCGACGAACCAGCACCTCGCTCTCAGTGGACTCTCATACCCAGACGCTCAGCTTCCCTCTCGTCGTTGGGAAACGAGTACTCTACCAGCCCAACCGCATCAGTCGCCATGTCACATCCCCACGACCAGCTTCACCGCAACTTACTCCCCGAGCTCATCGCATGGTACGTCCGCCCATTCTCGACATGGAATCTCAACACGCTGCTCCGTATCGATTCTAAGCTCTCGGGCGGCTTATTTCGCATTCGCAGTCAGTCAACAACATCACCAACCGCCAACATGAAACTCAGACGCGTGGTCCATCAAAAGGGGGGAAGGAAAGACAGAAATGTGGGGATCTCGCGCAACGCACCTCGGAAATGACAGAGTCGGAATCAAAGTCATCAGGAGCCTATTCACCGACACTCATCAGCAACAACCCAAAGGCATCTCTAAGAAGCGAATGGTGCTCACCAGAGGCTGCTGTCCTGGCTCCGGCGACGCCATCGTGGATGATATGCCGTAGGATGAGGTTGCAAGTGTGGCGATGTGCTGCCGGCTTGAAGAAAGGCAAGGTAGCTTAAAGTGGATAAGGACAGCGTTTGAAGAAAGGTGTGGGAGCGGAGCGGAGCTTAAACTTAGGGAAGCACCCGCTTTCGCATTTTCCCCTTGGGGGAAGCACCAGAAGGGAAAACATCAGATCGACCTGTCTCCCGCGATGGCCGCGGAGCCGGGGATACCCCTGGCATGGGACGTCGTAGATCCACCGAGCGGCGAGACCGCCGACTGCCGGCGTTGAAGAGTGCCAGGCATAAGAAGGAGCTTGGACCTTTTCTCTTCAAGATTATGGGTGTGTGCAGGGTCCTCCCACGAGAATGGGTTTGTTTGGGTCTGGGGAGATTTGGGCAGGAGTTTCGTGAGTATTTGGGTGGGAGGCATTTGATTTACCGTCTAGGTTGGAATGTAGGAGGGAAGGGCGTCGGGGGTTGAGGGTCAATGTCCGATCCGCGGCCTGGCTACGACGGCATGACTCGAGGTTATTTCGGGAGGCAGGTGTGGTGGTGATGGGTTTGTGAAATTTCCACGGGAATATGAACCTTCGTTGAGATGTCTCGCCTCTGAAATGAGGTCATTTGACGGACCGTGGTTATTTTTGGGCGCTGCGTTTGCAGAGGACTCCGTGCTTCCCGGACCACGTTCCCGAGGGTCCACTTTTGATTCGGGAGGAGGACCGGGGAAGTGGGGTTGGCCTCCGAGGCTAGTTTCCGGGCGGGTAGTTCGCGTTCCAAACAGGAAGGCGTCATAAGGCGTCCATTTGGCTGGTTAAATGAATTTCGCAGCCTACCTTATCAGAGGCACAGAGAATAAACAGTGATGTAAGCCCAGTAAGAGCAGCTAGTGAGGAATTGCAGTGTACATATGCATGGTCTAAGCCCGAAGTCGATTGGACGTTGGGAATGCAGAAACATTCGAGGCGCTGCCACGTAAGACTGCATCTCGCAGACCTGGCATACAGAGCCGTCAGTGAATGCAGTGTCACCAATGTGTGGGCCACAGCCTGCTCGTGGAAAGGAGCCGTTGTCGCTGGGCAGAGGCATCCCCCACTTGCTTCCTGCAGTCAGCATGGTTTTTTTACTCCATTCCTAAGTACTTGACCAATAAGTGCGTATTTACATGAGGTAGGCAGATTCTGGTGAACGCGTGATTAATGCAGCATGCAAGACATATTCGATCGTTCAATCTGGTTGACTGCAACACTGCGCACTCGGCTCCAGACCACATTCAAATGGGACAAGTTAACCCACCAACACCTTCTATCTTCTCCCAAACTTATGGTTCCGCCTCCGTCGTTTCCCTTCAAGGGCAAAAGGCGTGCTTCGAACTGGTCAGATCTCCGGTCGCCTGAGTTCGCCAACTATTCCAAGTTCGTCGCGCGACCAGGGCTCGTTCTGCCGACATGGCACCCGGCTATCACTTCGACCCATACAGCAGGATACATTGGTACTCCTACGACAATGTGGCGTATTACTCCAGCGACCGTAGAACCTGGTATCGCTACGATACTTTCGGAGGAGCAGGTTACTCCAAAGCAAACGAAGTGCCCAACTACCCGTACTGGAATCTCGGTGTTGCGAGGGCGGAGATCCGGCTCATCGTTCTGACCCCTCACGAGGATCCGTCCAGTCCCGTTGAATGCCACCTTGAGCAGGTGTCTCTGGGCGTAGCTGAAAAATATGTGGCCCTGTCGTATTGTTGGGGCGACCAAAATGATGGTATGTTGGAAATAACGGTCTCGGGGACGCGTCGTCTGGTGACGAAAACTCTCGCGCATGCCCTCCAGGAGCTGCGCCGAAGAAAACATTACCGAGTGTGGGCGGATCAAATCTGTATCAACCAATACAACTTCGAAGAGCGGGCCCAGCAGGTAGAGCGCATGGGCGACATCTACAGATATGCTTCCGTCACGATGGCATGGCTTGGGCATTTCAGATCATCCGACACCGCGCTTTTCGGAAAGGCATGCGCACTCATCGAGGCGTTAATCGCCGCCTCGGCGAGCCAAGACGATGTCCCCAAGACCCAAAACAAGGACACTGCCGCCAGCCCAGTGTCGGGATCTTCATATCCACTCAAAAGCCTGATGCATTGGACAGGGCTCACGAGTATGTTCCAGCGAGACTACTGGAGTCGTGCATGGATCATACAGGAAGTCGCCGTGTCTATGCAGGTTGAGTTCTTCTGGAACGGCCAGTCCGTCTCGATGTCGGATCTGCAAAAGGCAGTTGCTGGATGCAAGGCCTTGGCCTCCACAAGCAGCGAAGCAAGTGCATTGACCTCACTTACCGTATTCGAGCACGTCGAGCGACTTATCCGATTCCGCAACTTTCGAGAGTCGCCAATCCGCCTCGTCGAAGCACTCATCCTTTCCCGGCGGGCAAAGTCTACCGATCCCAAGGACAAACTGTACGCCTTGAAGCACCTGGCCATAGACGGGCCAGACAGCGTGCCGTTCCCCGATTACGAGGCGTCTCTGGACGACCTGAATCGCAAGACTGCCAACCTGCTCCTCCACTTTTACAAGAATGCCGACATCATCATGCTCCCCTGCCACTTCTGGGAAACCTGGGTTCCTCAGTGGAACGATCCCGCAACTTGGGGCGAGGAACGGATCAACAATTACTTGTTGGGACGGAGCAATTTCGTGGCAGAGCGAACTGATCGCGAGTCTGGATCGAGCAAAATCGTCCACAAATGGAGAGCCACCCAGGGATCCGAGGCTTATTGGAGCACAGCACCTGGCCGGAAACGGCTCCAAGTGCGATACAAGAGACTGGGCCGTGTGGAACAGTGCTCCGCAACTAACAACGAAGCCAGCACCGCCGAGGTCGGTGAGCTGGGCGACGTGAGAAAGTATGGCCCTCTCAAGGTTGAACGCCTCATATCGCGTTGCTGGCTGTTGTACGATCTCATCCCAAAGAACAAGTTACCCAAGCCCAAAAACATCAAGATCGGAGACATTCACCATCTTTTGACCGAGTCTGTGCGAGAGTCTGTTCAGAAAGGAGCACCGGAGTTTTATAAGTGGCTCTTTTGTAAACAGAATCTGGAGTTCAAGATTGGCGGCATTCCCCTCGCAAATTGGCTGAGCGCTGCCTCCGACAAACCCCGCCCCGACACCGTGAAGAAGGCGATGCGATGCTACTCCTCCGTCCGAATGGGGATGCGGCTGTTCATGACGGACCAGGACCACCTTGGATGGGCGATCAGCTCTTGTCAACCTGGAGACGAGCTGTTTCTGATACAAGGTTGCAGCGTTCCTTTGGTACTAAGAAAGAAAGAGAATGGAAAACTGTATGAACTCATCGGAGATAGCATTGTTCACGGTTTGATGGATGGGCAAGGTATCACCGATGCCTCATTGGAAGACTGGCCTCTTTTGACCTTGTCATGATGCTTCACTCTGGGGCAAAGCATCTTTGAAGTACGGAAAGCAAAACCATTGTAAGCTACGGTTTCGATATGGATAAGTAGGAAATTGTTTGACAGTAGTATGATACTGGGGAACCTACAAGCTAGCATAAAGATGAAGAAAGAAAGATGGAATAGACGGGGGTGGCGAAATGACGACGGTGGAGATGAGTGAACTCGCACATGTCTCCGGAGCCCCGTTTAATGTATGTTTGAACAGACTTATTGAGAAAATCAACAGAATAAACAGCATAATCATAATTTTTGGGCGACTTCAACGATGCCACGATTTACATAATCGATTTTGGGGACGGGACCAGATCATGAAGATCCCACCTGACGTTACTTCTGAATCGGAGATCGTGCTTCTACTTCATGAACGCAAGTGCAACATCCCCAGAGATCGTGCCTCCCATCTGCCTGGCCTTGTCCTTCGCGATCAACTGATCGATCGCCAAAGTAGCTCCTCCAGCTTTGACATCACCAATGACACCAACGAGCTGCCGAGCTTCTCCGAGAGCAACCGCATATTTGACCGTGTTGCCTTCAGTCTTCGTGGCTGCCTCGAGAACTGGCATGCAAACGCGCGCGCACTGCGTGAGCATCTTGGTCTGTTCTTCCAGTGCGCTCATCAGCTCATTCTTCTCCGCTCCGAACTCAATCACAGCCTGCATCCCGATGGAAAGTCCCTGTATCTGACTCGTTACTGTTTCCAAAGTCTTCGTGGCGGTGTCTCCGATGCTCCGGAGGTCTCCAGCGTTCTGGTTCATCAGATTACTATGTAAAGAGGTCAGTATCTCAATGTATTAATACCCGTATCCTTTTCACAAACTTGTGATTTATCGATAGCAGTGATACTTACAGGGATGTAAAGCCAAGAGCGAGATTGATTGTAGACTCATAACTCTGCAGGCGTGACTTGAATGCGTTGATGGTTTTGTCTTCGTATTGAAGACCGATGCGGTCCCGCCAGCTGATGTGACTCGTGTCCGAATGCCGTGTCGCCCTCATCAGCCAAGCATGGAACTCATTGCATGCATTCTGACACGCCTCGATCGTTGGTTTGGCTTGTGAAAGCAATGTACTAAGACTTCCCGGAGTCTCGTCATGTTTCCTCAGCTCAACTTCAAACTTGTCAAGAATATCTATCAATGCTTTTAGGTGATCCGATGTGTCGTAAAGATTTTGGGGAGCATCATGGATTCCCCCTATGAAGCTGTGGAGCGTCTGGGTCACTTGGACAGCGGCGGTCACAACACCTATGACGCTGGCGACGATACTCAAGGGGTCAGCCATATTGAGGAGGTGTCACGCAGTGATGAAGGTTTGCAGAGTCTGGCGCGGGGGGTCTGAGAAATCTGAACAAGTGTGAACATGAGAAGTGAGGGGCGCAGCCTGCCTTCAATATGGGCGCTTACGTGACTTGGCGGCATGGTCAACAATTGTGTGTCCACTTTATTGGCTGATTTCCAACGCAGCCTGATTTTCGGGCGGCTTCGCACGAGCAGATCAAATGACGCACCCCGCTTAACATGAACTTCGGACAAAACTTCACTCATGTCGTTCTCGCTTTACGCCCAGCCAGGTCAAAAGATGATGGTCGCCGTCTGAGATCACCAAGGGATTCACGACGAGCCCCTGACGCGACATGGATCTCAACAGCACATGGAATGGGAACTCCTTCCCTGTCATTGACGGAGCTGATGAAGATTTTGTCACGTCGTTCATGGGAGGGGCGCCCGGTTTCACTCCTGCGGGGCCAAGAACACCAGGCGCCGCAAACGTATCAATCGCCACGGGCAACTCGAGGCAGATAGTTGGTTCTGTCAACACGACTTTTACAGGCCCGATCCAGAACGTGACCAACAACTACACCAGCAGCCGTTGGCCTCGGCCTAGTGGAGACGACCTTCAGAGGCAGAGGTATCGTCAGATTTTGGAATGGCTCTCGTCGAAGCCTCAAAATCATCGAAGCACGCTTAAGAGCGAATCTTCCAAACGAGTAGAAGGCACTGGTACATGGTTCTTTGAATCCGAAACGTACCGCCAATGGCTTTCTGGATCTCTGCCTTGTCTGTGGCTTATTGGAGGAGGTGAGTAAATACCAATTCAAAGATCCGAAACGTCATGTATTCACAATTTATACTAGTCGGAACTGGGAAAACAGTTCTTTGTTCATCAATAATCAGCAGCTTGCACAATTTCACCAGGAGCGGCCGCTTGGCATCCTCAGAAGTATCGATATGCTTCTTCTTCTTCTCATTCCAAGACAATATGAGGCAGTCAGTCTTGCAACTACTCAAAGTTCTTTTAGGACAACTTTGCAAGCCTTCGTTCATTCCTGAACCTTTGGAAAGTTTATATGAACGTTGCCAAGAAGTGTACCCTCCAGACGATCCTTCCATTGAAGAGCTTCGAGAAGCTCTTATTGAATCACTCAGGGCCAACTGCACTAAGACAACCTCTGTCGAATCGGAAGTTCTCCAAGACGTGTTCATTCTCATTGATGCACTGGACGAAGTCCCAAACGACCAGATAGAGTCTATCACCACTCTCTTGCAGGATCTCAGTCAGCTGGAAGTACCCAAGCTTCGAATTTTATGCACCAGCCGTTATCAACCGGATCTTGACATGGCTCTGTCGCAGCCTGTTAGATGGCAAAAGCAAGATATGAACAAATCCTACATTGTGCAGGATGTCGAGAAATTTGTCTTGAATGCCTTGAGCTCGTCAAGGTTGAGGTTGTTGGACCAAAGGTTGAAGAACGACATTGTCGAGCGCGCTGCCAGGCAAGGAGAAGGAATGTCAGTGAGCTCTATCAACATTTACCTTCTTACGAACGAAAATTGCTCACAAATGCGGCTTAGGTTTCGTCTAGCTGCTCTCAAGATTGACATGCTCAAAGACCTGCCTCTACGAGGACAGGATGATGTGCGTCTGGCGTTGTCCGCATTACCAACAACTCTCAACGAAACCTACGAGCAAATGCTAGCCAAAATACCGGACAATATCCGGGAGATCGCCATATCTGCCTTGAAATGGATTGTCGCAGCTAAAAGGCCCCTATTCGTTGAGGAGGTGGTAGACGCGGCTTACATCCGCACGGACAGCCCACTATCTGAGAAGCAACATAACAACCGCTGCCCTGCCTCAGACCTCATCCAAGTCCTTCGCGGGCTTGTCACAGTTCAGCCTCGCATCCAAAACTTCGAGAAAATTCCTTCAAGGCAACATACAATGATGATTTCTCACAACTCGGTTCAGGAGTTCTTGACAAGCGTGGAAATCCGCAACACAACCACGAAATCGTTTGGCTTCAACATCGAAGCGGCAAATGAAATCGTTGGACGAGGGTGCATTGTCTACCTTTACCATTACAACCGAAGACATGTCGAACCAAAGGAAGAAAGCCATCCACTGTCCCGATATGCATGGTTCAACTGGGAGCTACATCTGAAGAATTTTGAGGACGAAGATCGGCACGCTATGCCGCGAGTGTTTGCGGTCCGCCTGCTTAAACGCTTGAAAACGAAATTCGAGAGCTCCAGAATTGCAGCAAATATAGAGCAACTTTCATCGACTACAATGGCCCAGGGTTCAGCCAGCAAGTCAAATTTTGACGACTGGATTAGCTGGATTCCAACCGAAGGATTGTCCATACTCTATCAATCCCTCAATACCGCATTCTTTACCCAGTCTTATTGGGAGTACATTCATGAGAAAAAACTGTCCAGAGCAGAGATATATTCAGCATCTTCCCTGAGCTCATGTCCGAGGATGATCAGACTTCTTAGCATTCTTCCCCACCTCGACGCGGAAGACCCTTCAAATTGGCGTGTTCTCTGCTGCCCTATAGAACAAGCTCCAGTTTACACAGCAATTTCGTTCACTTGGGGACCGCCAATATTATCAGCAACCCGTTGTCTTCTTGACTTTGACATAAAAATATCACCGAATGCTGATTTCATACTTTCCACGCTGCCATATGTGACATTTCACGCAGCAGAAACACCTAGGGCATTTTGGATGGACCAGATCTGTATCAATCAGAATGACAACGAGGAAAAAGCTGGCCAAATTCCGCTTATGCCAGAAATTTATCATGGGGCTAGCGCCACCGTCATCCAATTACGCGGCCAACCGGAAGAGGGAGATCAATACGACGTCGAATATTTCTACCGCCTAGCAAATCTCGCTTCCGCTGGAAACACTATAGAAGCTGCGCAAACATTATTCGAGTTATACCAAGACAACAAGTTACAACATTTGCTGTATCTGTTTGTCACCCCGTGGTGGACTCGTTTGTGGGTCTTGCAAGAAGCCATAACAAGCCTCAACCCAATATTGATGTATGGGAATCTCTCGATACCTATCGCATCCGCAGAACAGATATTTGACGTCATAGACGACATTTACTCGATTCTCGATGAACAATTCCCGTATGATGGTCTAAGAATTCGACGGTGTTTGCAAGAAATCGATGGTTGGAACGCCGCGTTAAACATCATCAAAACTCGCAAGGAATATCATCATGGCGACAGGCCGACTCTCGCGCAACTCATATACCGGTTCAGTCAGCTGGAATGCTATGATGCTCGCGATCGACTGTATGCGCTCGGTAGCATATCGCAACATGAGTTCGAAATCAAGATATCCTACTCGGATGATTATCCCATGAGACAGCTGTATAAGGAAACGACCTTCAATCTGCTAATCCAGATGAAAAGCTTGGACGCCGCAGCGTATGCATCAGTCACTAATAACGATTCTATTCCTTCATGGGTTCCCGATTTCAGTAGACGGATCTCCGGAATGATCCCGCTGTCGGCTGGTGGTTTCAAAGGGGTCAACTATGTTGGAAACTTTGCGACGGAAGCTCTACGACGGAATCTCAAATTCGAGATTGTTGGAGCCCCACGCATCAAGAATACGATTCTTGAGTTGTCAGGCGTGATTCTCACTTCTGTGAGTACGATATTTCCGTCGCTCAACCTTACCAAGCCTTATGATGAAGATTGTCGCGACGCCTTTCGAACCCTCTCAGCCCAGCTCACTGGATTTGGTTGGCGTAGTCACAGAGTGCCACAAAAAGCACGTCGTACAGCCAAGTGTTTCTCAGATAGACTCAGAGTACCTCCGGGCCAGACAGCAACTGAGGTGGTATGGAGGACGCTGTTGGCAAATCAGTGGCCGGATGGTGTGAAGTTGTGGGTGGACACATACCGGGGGCAGACTATCCCTCCCGTAACGCCCAGACTTTCTTATAAGCTTTTCAGGTATTTTGATATCACGGACAAGTTGGTGTTCAACACTGGACGGTGCCTATTTTTGACAGCAGAAGGCTATTTGGGACTTGGCCCGTGTGCGATGTCTTCTGGCGACTCGATCGCAATGCTCGGCGGTGGAACTCTGCCCTTCATTCTCCGTAAACGCGATGGTGTAGAAGATCCCATATGGTCTGTTATTGGCGAGTGGTAAGTACAGATTTGTGAGAAGCAGGTCAGGATAGCATACTAACAGGTACTTAGTTACGTTCATGGTCTGGGAGGTGACGAAAATTGGGCCGCCGAAATGTGTACTAGGATCGAAAGATTTCGCCTTGCATAGAATCTTCGGAAAATTGAAACTGAATAACCTAGTTTCCAATAACGAACCGATAAGAAGATCTAAGTCCATCTTGTGCAAACGTGACTGAATCCGTGGTACCCCATCGACTGCCAATTGACTATGCCATAGCACTCATCTTAGGACTGGTATCTGCGCAAAACCTCTTTTGTCTTCGGCCCGATACTTTCATCCATTTGAATATAATTGTCCACAGTGCCCGCTTCGACTAATATTCGTGCAGCCTCCTCACGCCCGTATCTACAAGCCATCGTCAATGCAGTCCGTCCCCATTGGTCTTCGATATTGACTTTTGCGCCCCTTTCAATCAATAGTTTGACTGCATCGTCGGTACCCTCTCCGGAGGATGCAAAAGACACGGCGGTGCGGCCGTACTTATCTTCCGCATTAACTTTTGCACCATGCTTAAGGAGCAACTGAATAGTCTTGAGAAATCGCGGTGGGGCAATGCGAGCGTGTCTGCAAGCCTAGGACAATGGGGCTCGGTCATGGTAATCCGTCGAATTGACGTCTGCACCCCTTTAAGCAGGATCTGCGTAGCCTCTGGGCGTCCGCTCCGAGCTGTGAGCGACAGAGTAGTTTGGCTTCCCCTATCTTTGAACCCGATAGAGGCACGAGCGTCAAGTAGAGTCTTGACAGTCTCACTAGGTCGCCCCGTGGCACTGAGAGCTGAGGCATTCTTGTCGACGCGGCCTTTAAATTCGATATCTGGTCCTTTGTTGATGAGGAGCTTGACGACGTGGGTTCGTCCCTCCTCTGCGGCATACTGCATAGGAGTGCTACCCTCCCCCTCAGCAGCATTGATGGGAGCTCCTCTGTCAAGCATCATCGCTACCAGATCAGGGTCGCCGAAGCGTGCCGTATATGCCAACGCTGTGCAACCATCTTCGTCCAGAGTATCTATACGAGCTCTTTTTTCAAGTAGCAGCCGAATGCATGATCTATGCCCTGCTTCGGCAGCAATTATTAACGGTATGCGGTCTTGGTCGTCCACAGCGTCAATGCAAACGTCATGACTCAAAAGAAGCTCCGTCAGAGACAGGTTACCACTATATGCTCCGTCGATGCTTTCCCTGTGCATTAATGAGAGCTTCTTTCTCTAACAACAGCCTGATTGCGTCTGGTTGATCGTGGGACTCTGTAACCACCAATGGTAAAACTTTCTCATCTCCATTTGGTGGCGGATTCCCCGGGCATGCACCAAGGTCGCACCGTTGTTTGATCGCTTCAAGTCGTCCATATCGTGCCGCGTAAAACAGCGGTATTCTTCCGAATGAGTCTAGAGCATTGAGGTCACGTCCCAGACCATAGAATATCTCGATGTCTTCCTGTAAGCCGTAGGATGCTGCCCACCCAAGACCAGAATCGGGAAACTCACTAGGTACCGATATTTCTGACAAAGACTGCATCTTTTTATCGTCCAAGAGCAATTCTTTTACATCTTTCACCAAGGGGGAACATTTTGATGCATGATATGCCCATGCGTAGGTAGCATGGCGGAAGAAAGGATACGGCTCGTCCGCGTTATTTGAGGCCCTGGATGAACTGAGTTGACGAGGTATGAACGCATCAAATCGCTTTCAATAGCGAACTTTAGATATCTTGTAAATACTTTCGTCATCTCGAAATGGGCTGTTGGAAAGTGTTTCTCTTTTCTCCTCTCAAAGTACTCCTTTGTTGTGTAGTGAACAAGTCGAACATTGTCGCTTGTCCTGTCAAATGTGACGAGTCCGGCGCAGACGGAGACGGTAGTATCAATATCTCTAAGTTGTGGCGGTCAAAATCCGTGTCTGACCTGTTTGTGTCCACCGCAAGAGCGTGATTCAGCTCGATGGTAGTCAAAAGCCGCACTGCGTGGACGATCCATGATAGTACGTTTCTGCCCAGATCGCGAAGCTTAGACTCCTGCCCGTCTATCCTCGCACAGGCATCATTGTATGCTTCGTCATAGACTTGGTGGTCTTAAGACTTGTTTGCGCTTTGTTGTTTGAACTTCTAGAGCTGACAAAATCTCCCTTACCGAGGTTGTGTTTGTTAAGGATCCAAGATGGAGCCGTGCTAGGAGGAACCTAAACACGTCATGTTAGTGTTTATGTATGTCAAGATGGGCAAGTATTGTCTTACATCCCACTAACTGCATAGGCGACCCCATCAGTAATTCTTGTTTCGAGACCCGGAGTCGCAATACGCACACGAAAGTCGGGCATATGATGCGACACATAGTCACTTACGTCGTTTTCCGATGCCTGATTTCGCATTTCAGAGCATCTCCGAACTCTTCCTCAATCTCTGGGATGAATCTTGAGGTTGCCAATAAGTGCATTGGGGCTCCTGTCCCTGTTCTCTGTCCGAATAGAATCTCCAGTAGTGATGATCAGCAACTAATGTCTTGGCACTCGTCAAGAGCATCAACGAGAATGAGGACCTTTGCGAATGTATTGCACATCAACTCCAATGTCCGTGAGAGCTCCCCAATGGAGGATCTGGTCTGCCAACTCTTGTGTTTTTCAAAAAGGCTGCGTAAGCTCTCCGACAAATCTGGTGTTCTCTCGGCTAGCTGCTTCAACAGGCTGGATAAAATGTGTTCCATGCTTTGCTCGGTCGCTCTCTCAAAGCTGTAATACACATAAGCTACACCAACTCCTGTGTTGCTTCCAGCTTTCGAAACGAGATCATTGATGACGATAGATGTAAGAATCGTTTTGCCGGCTCCGGGTATCCCAGTACAATACAGCGTCTTGCCTGTTGATTCGTTCCACTCTTGATATTGAGTAGAGCTCAGAAAAAACTGACCTGTTCCCTTGTGCCTCATTTTGAAGTAGCCACTTTCGTTAGAGCCGTAATTGGTTGGACTGAGCTACTCTAACATATCTTTAAAGAGTTTCTTCTTCTGCCGTATTTAGCTTGATATTAACCTGTTTAACATCTTCATCAACTGCAGTAACCGTGTTTTGAACTATAATCGGGATCAGATTTAGACTACATGCGCTACATAAGGGATGATCTGAGACTAACCCTCTGCAATCTGAGCTGATAGTTGACCATGAGCACTCCGTTCTCTGTTGACCTCGACCAATTGTACGTGATCGAGAAGTAACTCCTTGGCAAATGCCGCAGCGACAGCGGCGGCGTGCCCCTGCCATGCCTTAACTTGTGGCTATCAGCATAGTTGCAGATCCCCCGAATAACCAAACACGAAAAGCTGGTCATTAGGCCACTGGCCTCCATCTCGATGCACAGTAGTTGGCCCCCAAGATCCTTATTTAGTTTATCCCGGAAAATGGCGTCCTTGATAACCTTATCTGCCGATGCAATCAGTCTGTAATGAACTTGGATGGCTGTGGATGCATGCTTGCAAGGCTTAATCTTACTCTTGTCGCAATGCCGTCACTCGTCATCGTTCTCCTCGGAGTCATCTTCTGAATCCAACTCGGCGTTGTATGGCTTTTCTTCGTAGTGGCAGGATGACTTGAATAAGATGCTAACTAAGTCTTTTGACTTTCCATATGTCCCTGCCAGTCTGGGCCCTCTGGTTGCTATTTCGTCGATGAACTCTTGAATGATAGGCTCGTTCATATCATGTTAGGTCTCGATCCTTGATAAAGCCGAGAGAAGGGATGCTGGCGGGCTGTTCAAGGATCCAGTTCTTTCAAACTTGCCTCCCTCTTTGGCCTTCCCCATATCCCACTGGACGACTCCTCCAAATTGTCCAGATGGACTGCTGACGACTACGTCTCCCAGCTGAACATCACTTCCTTTTCGTGGCACGCCACCTCCAATACCGACCATCAAACCGAACTTGATGGAAGGAAAAGTGTTCACCATATTTGCGGCGACTGTTGCGGCCGAAACAATCCCAATTCGTTTCTTGGGTAGGCAGGCGATGGCGATGTTGTGGCCCCCGATGGATCCAAGGGTGTATGCGTTCGGGTCTCCAGCCGGGGTCGGAATAGCAGGTTGCTTTCCGTCAAGCATTGCTACCGCTGCGGTCTGCTCCTTTGGAAGCGCAAGTACCCAACCGACGGTGTATGAACCATTACTATACGTAGCCTCAATCCGCCGGTTCTTGAAGATTTGCTGCTCCTCCCCTCCCTCGATCTTTCTTTCCTTGGTCGAAGTACCCTTCATTGCTGCAGTGTATCGGGAGCTGGCAATGCTCTTAGAACATTGGCCCGTTCAAATCTTACAAAAAACCAAAAGTTAGATAGCACGAGAGTGCAGAATCTGGGGTGTTAAGAGGGATCATGGCACGTTTGCTGCAGCCTGATCAACTCGTCTCGGTTGACAGGCTGGGCGGCAACCGGCATTTACGATAGCGGAACATCCACCAACAACGGAACGATCATCTGCATAAAGCTGGAAATTTTGGCGGCGACATGGGTTGGCAAGGTGGAAGACAATTAAGCGACCTCGCAGCCTGCTTGTGATGAATTCAAACCCCTGGAGCTTGAGTTGACTCATTTCAGCTGGCATAAACACAGCCTCTACTTTTTTGGAGATCGCGCGTGGGCATCATACGAGCGAATTTGCCGAATTCTCTACAAGATTCTATTACGTAGTCTAATTCACCCTTCTAGTTGTCCAGAACACCGTAATGAGGGCCTCACAGTGACTCGGTAACTGATTCAACTGACACTCCTTAGCCCGGTGAGCATCCCTATCAGGTGCTTGCCTTCTGAATCCTATCTCTGGTACTGACGGAAAACCGGAAGAACAGTTTATCTAGGCGGCACTCTCAAATTTACCGGAGAATAGCAAATGCCAGTTAAGTTCTTCCGTCTTCCTGTCAGCAATCCAGATACTCGACGAGAGCTAATGGTAGTCCCGGTCATACTCTCAGCTAGTTAAGTCAAGGTAAAGATGTGGAGCTTGCATGTTGCAAGCTATTACGTTGTTGCAGCATTGCTGCCGGGGTTACATCTCTAGCATCGTCGAGCGGGTGTGAGTACAACAAGAACGAGCTTGAAAAATAGACACCTCCGGAGAACGTAGCCGCCACCATAAAAACTATCGAAGTCTGTAGTTTTCAAAAGTTAGTGATGGGTATCGTAGAGGAACGTGTTTTGACTCTTCTGACTTTGATGTCTTCTGCAGACCAGCTTCTTTGCATTACAGCAAAGACGTGAATTATCAGGCCGACCACGAAAACAATTATGCCGATGTTCAGCAACATGATGGCTGTCTGCCATAGGTAGAGTTGAGACCGTCTTGGTCGCACACCATCATTGGTGGAGTATCCCAGCATGTTTCGAATCAGCGTCCACCGGTCCTCATAACAACAAATCCGGTTCAACGCCAGAGACTGCTGACTAGCCAGGCAGATAGAGGTCAAATCTATGATAAGACTTCCATACCAAAGGCTCCTAGTCGACCATGGAAATTTGTCCAGGTCTTGCCACGCGAGCGCAGCAGCGATAACGCCTGACAATAGAGCACACTAAATAACGTTAGTCGTTGAACAGGTGAATTTATAGCGAATTAAATCCTTACCGTGAGTCCAACGAATGACAACTCACTCAACTTTTGCTTGGTCCATGCTTCCGTGAGTCGATCTGCGGAGAGAGGCTTGGTCTGCTCGGAAGGCGGCGAGGCCTCGGTATTCAAAAGTCTCCGAATTGGTTCATGGGTCATGAACCATGGTCTAAAAACCACTCGAAGGATGCCACTATTTCTTGATAATTCCATCATCATGTTATCTACTGATTGCAAAATACTATAGAAAACCAGAAATATGCCGAGCAGTCAAACAGACTGCCTATTGTACATTTTCCAGAATGAAGAGACCGACCAAGACTCCACGTGCGGTTCAAACAGGGTGACTGTGCCTCATTTCGCAGTCTCGGTGCGGTCGATTGTGCCTAACCATCGCCTCTGGCGGTCTTTTTATGGGCCACAGCCACGTAGCCTGACGTGTACCTACTTGATAGGCTAGTTGCAGTGAGATGCATCTATAGCCGGCTACGCAAATGCCATATTTTGTTCATTCCGCCAATCTCTGCACTTCCGACATAAGCTAATGCCAGTCACAGGTGCTGCATAGCACATACGCGTCAGAGGCTTAGACACAATGTTTCACTACTCAGCATGCAGTCGTCGCACAGCATTACGCCCGACATTCACACCGACTTTATTTGACCTTCTTCACCAGAAAAGAAGCAGAAGGCGGGATGTAATCATGTGGTATTATCAGTTTATGTGAGCAACAATGCTTCTATAAACACAAAGCGCAGCTTTTCTTTTCCTGTTTTACTCCTGCTTCTAAGATCTTTCTATTTCACTCCGGCCCTTACATCACCTGTTCCAGTCTTGAAGGCAAAGTCAACGTCACATTTCTGGCATTCTCTATCATCTACCGTCAAAAGTTAGTACACTGCTTCGCCCTACAACACATCAATCCTTCTCTTTCAATCCTTCTCTCGAAAAGGGAAAATGGACACTCCCGAATTGCGGCGTAAGTCGGAGGGTTTCGTGACAGAATGTATCGATGTCATTGAATGCCTCTGGAAACATGGAGAATTCCGCCAAGATTGTCGTGTATTGAGGTTGGATATACACAATTTCATGGGTACAAAGTCCCATCATGGAGCACTGCTTTACGTTTACTAACACCAATCCAGCGCTCAATCAGTAAACCAGCTATTGACCACGGTTCTATTCGAAGTAGCTGACGACTGTTTTTTAGGTTGTATTACAAGGCGGTGCATGAGTACACTCGATCCCGCACTATGGCCCCTAGAATGTTAGAGGAGGTCAACAAAGCGGCTGATAGGCATCTATTGGCCATTGCCAAGGCAGGCAATTTTATTCGCGAAGCAGATTTCAAGTCATATCTCGAGCAACAGCAAAGAACCTTTCTGCGAGCTTCTTGGTACATAAACTTTGCTCTGAAGAGGCTAAACAGGGTGTTGTACGAAATTGACGATCGGAAATTTCGCACTGTTTACCAATCACTAGACTTCAAGTTCAAGACTGTATTTCTTCCAGAAGCCGCCCGCAATGCACGAATTACGACCTTCGAGTTGCTTTATCTACAACCATCGCATAATCTCGACAAGGAATCTTTCGCCTTGCTTCGTCAACTCATACAGCCTATTACACCCCAGTCTAAGCAGACACACAAGCGGGCCGTGTATCTGAAAACATCGCCCATAGGTCGATCCGACTTTCGATCAGAATATCAGGATACGCCGTCGTTGACCCTTTCTCGTGCATACGAAAGGTGTCGACCTTTCTTTCGTTTCAATGCCGTAGAGCATTGGGCCGTTCTGATTGAATCAGAGGAAACGTCGAAGATCGATACCTATGAAATTCAAGTCATTGGCAACGGTGTGCACCCTCAAATTCGACAGAGGGGACCGATGGAAGCCTTGAGTCACTTGAAGGTGATTGGCTACACTACACTGACCGATGACGATGTTCTAAAGTACGGTACGTATCAGATGAATCGCAGCTAGGGCTACAAATATAAACTAAATCATTCTCGCCCTCAGCGACACACGTTCGACAAGCCATGGAGAACGAGTATCACGTTCTCAAGAACAACTGTCAGAGATTCTGCGCACAACTCTACAACTGCATTTGTGTTCCTAGCTCTGGGCTGGATCTTGTACTGCGGCGGGCATACCTACCTCTTCAATCGCGGGATGAGATATCTCACCTACTGCTGATCAGCCTTCTGGCTCAAGCAGAAGAGTATGATGATTTTCGCCCGACCTTTCTGGCCAAACCACTTCCTATGACCCTCAGTGTTCTCTCCGCTAGGCTTCTTGTTGTTTTGGCAGTATATGTTGTCATCTACGCTAAACGACGGCTTCCGACCCCTGAGTACTTGTGCTTACTCGCAGCTCTTGTTCTCGGGGTTTCTCACACTGACATCATGAGTCTACAAAACTTTACTCTCTTGTTTCAAGACCGGGATGTGAGAAGTGATGCAAGGGAGCTTCTCGAAGCCGTGTATGAAGACGTACCGCCGCTAGACAGGCACCATCTTCTTGAGCTCCAGAGTCAAACAGATGCCGCGCGTATCCCTGGAAGTACCAGATCCATCGCCATTCCATCGTTACTAGCAAGTCAAGGCGATTCTGTTGGCTTGATAGCTGACATAACGAGAAGATTTTTCAGTCAGGAGCCTTGGCCAGGGAGAGGGTAGTTCATCCGCCGGGGAGTATATTTTGTCTCGGCGACATTTCCCCACAGGTACAATATGAAAAAGAGGAACTTGTGCTTTTCGGTTGATTCGATCTTGCTCAACTTCTTGGCAGTGCCTTTGAGCCCGGTTTTCAGAGACCTTGCGATGTGGCGCACGCGGTTTTCAATTTTCTTCAAAGTCTGGACAGCGTCCTCGGTCTTATCAGAAACTTGCAGTCTGGGACGTCGTCGAATTCAAAAGACATTCACGCAGCCAACGAGAAACAAATGCCCCAATGACACGAGTTTTTTGTCACGTTGGTAAAAGGCCGGCTGCTGGAGCGCAAGAATGACATCAGCTGATGTGTGGCTTTATCACCCTGGATCTAATAGCCTGGCTTGGGTCTCAGTATTGTCTTGCAGTATGACTAAGCTCCGTGGTACGGAGATATGCCCTATCATTCTACTATGTATGAGCTACGCACAAATTATTATATACAAATACTCACCTGGAAACGGCGATCAGATTATCATCGCCCCCCTCTTCTATAGCACATTCATGTTGAGGGAAATAAGGAGCCAACTCCCATCATGATGAAAATCCCGTGCCGAACGTAACGATGCCGCATGTCGCCGCCTATGGACCCGTATGTGGGGCCGTCAAGTGGGTCATCCCGGCCGCGCTTCGGCCGATGTCGCCGCCGACACTGATTGAGGGATTGCCAGACGATTGTGCCCGCACTTTAGGGTGCCCGGAATGCACCTACGAACTACACAATTCTTTCAATTTAATCGGCACAGATTCGGTGGGTTATCAAGGCTTCGTTGCGTGAATGTAAGGGTCAATGAGGGCATCCATCAATCAGCCATTATCAGTATGGCCTACCAAAGACCCACGTCCACTCATCCATCCATTCCTACCACAATCAGACACTTCAACAATGTGCCGACGTCCAATCTCAAAATTCCGTTGTTAGTTTCTAGCGTCAGAGCCTCATCCT